CTCGGCCCCCTGCCCCCAGGCCTGAGTCCCACCCAGAGTCCTGTTCAGGTCAGAGGGCAAAAAGCTGGGTCCTAACATTTCTCTGGCCATGAGGGGGTGACTCAATTTCCCATATAGAAAATGTGGCATTGCTCTGGAATTACATCCACATTCAAGGTCTTGTAAAGCACCTAGGGCAGGCCAAGCCCTGGGCTGGACGCTGGGACCCTCCTGTCCGACAAGCCATGGTCATACTGCCCTGAGGGCTTCCCAGACAAGTGGGATGGGGTGTGGGATTCCCAAAACAAGGGCTGTCACATCTCTGGACCTTGGTTTTTCCATCTCTACAATGAGAAGGAAAATATCACCCACCTCAAGGATCATCATTATTCCTATGACAAGGTCCCCTTGTTGGACCATCCACAACCCAGCTTGGAGCACAAGGGATAAGATCCAGGCGGTCCCAAATATTCCAGTCCAGAGGGGCAAGTTGGCTGTTTAAAATCAGGGTTGAATCACTTTCGGGTCTTCTGATTCCAGTCGCTAAGAGGAAACAGTTCAAGTGTGGATTGAGAAGACGGAGGGAGGTGGGTAAGGGGTTGTTTAATATGGACAAAGTTTTAGTTTTTCAATGAAGAGTTCTGGAGATGGAATGTGAACATATTTAATGCTACTAAATGGCATACTTAATTATTAAGATGATAAATTTTATGTTATGTGTTTTTACTAAAATAAAACATAATTTTTTAAAAAGGGACAAAACCAGGAGATTGGAATCAGATCTGCCTCTCATCTACAATGTGGCCCTGAGCACACGTCTTGCTTCTCTGGGCTTCTGTTTGCTCCCTGCCCCCACCCTACCCCCGCCTCCTCTCCCAGCTCCGGGTCATGGTCGCTACCCAGAGTTTGATGATTCCTGTGATTCTGCATTTCCTCATTTCAACCCTTCAGGTAAGAAGCTGGGCTGGGAGCAGCTTTGGAACCAGTGATGGAGTGAGGAGGCCCCTCCTATATGGGCTTCTCCTCTGCCATCTGCCAGCCATTTGGAAGTGACAGGCTGGCAGCAGCGGCTGTTTCAAGCCAAGCCTGTTTCCTTGTGATGTTCGAGGTTGCCTGGTTCCCTGGAGGAGGTCAGGAGGCCAGCAGAATAGGGAAGAGTTTCAGCCAGGCCTGGAGCTGCCCCCATGGGCAGCCTTCCAGGGAGGCCTGGGCTGGAGCTGGGACCGCCACCTTTCCTGTGGGCAGAGGGCAACAAGAGGTAACATTTGGAGATGGAGGCAGAGGATAGAGGCTTGGCACACTGCCAAGGTCACCTCCATTGAAGCAGATTGGTCCCAATAGCCTGTGATCCAGAAAGCTCCTGAGGCAGGAGCCTGGGGTGGGGGATCCAGGCTCCATCATGTCTACCTATTCAGCATCTGGTACGGTCCAGAAAAGGCTGACCCCTCCTTCATTAGGAGAGCCTGACTCAGGCCCCTGGTCTGACCAGTCAAATTCCTCCATCTCCGGCTCCCCACCACCACTGTGATTGGTTCCAAGAGCATTGAGAGTCAGCCCTGAGATCTCTGGTGGGCCTATCAGGGGAAAAAGGCTGAAGAAATGTAAGGCCGGCCCATTTTTGCCACCCCAAGGGGCAGGAAGAGAACTGAACCAGGGAGATGCAAATCAGGGCAGTCATGAGACACAAACTCACACCCACTAGGATGGCCATAATCAAAAATCTAAAAAACAAGTGTTGGCAAAGATGTGGAGAAACTGGAACCCTTGCGCACTGTTGAATGGGAATGTCCAGTGGTGCAGCCACTGAGGTAAACAGTGTGGCGTCCCTCAGAAAGTTAAACATAGTTATCATATGATCCAGCAATGTCCCTCACAGGTATATACCTAAGAGAACTGAAAACAGGTGTTCAAACAAAAACTTGTACACACATTCATAGCAGTCATTATTCACAATAGCTAAAAGGTGGAAACAAGCCAAGTGTCCCTCAACTGGTAATGGATAAATAAGATGTGGTCTCTGCATACAATGGAGCACTATTCAGGTATAAAAAGGAAGGAAGCACTGATACGTGGATGAACACTGAAACGTGGATAAACCTTGAAGATATGTTCAGTGAAAGAAGCCAGATGCAAAAGGATGCATGTTCTATGATTTTGTCTATATGAAATGTCCAGAACAGGCAAGTCCATAGAGACAGGAAGTAGATCAGGGGTTGCCAAGGGATAGGGGATGGGGGAGTGTGGGTGGAGGGTTGGGGAGTGACTGCTAATGGGAACGGGGTTTCCTTTTGGAAGGAGATGAAAATATTCTGGAGCTAGATAGAGGTAATAGTTGCATGACTTCATGAATGTACTAAAAACCACTGAACTGTATACTTCAAAACTGTTAAAATTATAAATTTTGTGTCATGTGTATTTTACCACTTTTTTTTTTTTTTTAAGGAAGAAGAATACAGCTGATGGAGAGACAGACCCTGAAGGAAGGCATCATTTGGGCTTCCAAATCCAGCCATACCTGAAGGCGGCCCTGCTACTGGGGTAAGGCAGCGAGGCATGGGCTTTCTTTCCCTACAACCTGGTTTCAGAAGATCATCTACATTTGTTCATGCTCATGTCCCCATCATGATGAGAACAGCCCTCACTGAAGGTGCTGGAGGCCTCGGAAGGGTGAGAACCCCACTCCCTGGTCCTCTGCTTTCCCATCTGTAAGAATGGGAGGTGGACAAGTTCCTGCTATGCCAGCAATACCAGGTCCCAGTGTGCAGTTACTATGATCATGTTTCGTACCCACAGCAGCCCTGTGAGCAAGACGTTCTGAGCTCAGTGAAGGGAAGACATCACCAAGTCTCACGCCCTGGCTTCCTCGCTGTGCCACACCTGGAAGCAAATGCCTAGGGCCCCAAGAGGACAAAGGCTGGGGCCCCAAGAGTCAGCCCAGCTGGGTGCTGATGAGCTCATGCTTAGCATCCAACAGACCTGAGTTTTGAGTCCTGGCTCTGGCTCTCTGTGATCCTGAGCCAGAGGTCTCCACCTCTGGGCCTCAGTTTCCCCTCTCCAAAACAGACTGGTTGTTCTGGGTGTCAGGTGTGGGGTCTGCTGGGAGAACAGTTGCTGTCCCAGGAGAGCTCATTAATACATGGATGTGTCTGGTGGAATCCGAGCTGAGCTATGAGTCCTGGCTTGGGCAGAGGCAAGAGCTGGGTGGAGGGGCAGCCCATCAGTCTACTGCCTCCCAGAGGGGACGTGCCAGGTTACAGCTTCCCCTCCTTGCCGTGTTGTTGTTGGCTTTTAAAAGGACATGAATGTAGAAGTAACTCATTGATTCTTTTTCCACTTGCTGCTGAGCACTCGGCGTCCCAGTGCACTTGGCTGGAGGCTGGCACTGTTTCCCGGCACCTGGACTGCCTCACTTGGCACAGGGATTCACTGAGTGGCGGTTGGCTGGCTGCAGGCATTGGTGATGGTGTGGCCCTTCTCTCTTGTGGCTGCCCCAAAGATAGGGGAGAAAGCACCTCATAGCCCCCGTGACCCCTAGGAACCTCCTTGGATAGTCAACAAGTAAGGATGTAACTGAGAGGGAGGTTCTGTTGGAGTCAATTCTGAGACTCCATCCTGTGGCACCTCAGAAATGGGATACTCCAGTGCCATGTCTCAGCTCTCCCTGGGGTCCTGTGGCTTCTACCATTTTATAGTTCTGTGCTTCTGCTGACTGGTGGCCACATCACCCTAGGTCCATGGCTCTCTAACACTGTGGTCCCGTGGCTTTAAGATCCTACAATGCTGTGGCTTTAGCATTCTGTGGCCCCATGGCCCCAGGATCCACAATTCTGTGGCCTTAGCATGCTGTGGTCCTGTGGTCCTAGGATCCTATAGTTGTGTGGCTTTGGCATTCTATGGTTCTATGGTTCCATCAACCCATGATGTTATGACTCTGTCATTTCTTAGTTCTGTGACTCCTTGTTCTGTGGTCTCGTGACTCTTGGATTCTTTGGAATGCCATGGCTCTAGTAATTATTCAACCCAGTGGTAAACAGAGTAAGGAAGATTCAATGGGTAGGTACCTACTATGTGCTTTACCTCCATTCTCTTATTGATTCCTCATAGTGACCTCTGAATGGGGTCATCACATAGCCAGAGAGGCTCCTGGGGAGAGTCCATCTATCAATTTACCCACCCACTCACCCATCTAATCATCTGCTCATCCACTATCTGTCCATCCATCCCCCCACCCAGCCATCCCATCTATCCACCTATCCATCATCCATCCATCCACCACCCATGTACCTATTCATCCCGATTCATCCATCTATACAATTATCTGTCCATCCGTCCATCCATCCATCCATCCATTCATCCATCCATCCATCCGTCTTCTCACCCATCATACAACCATCCATTCACCTACCTGTACATCCATCCATCATTCATTTATTCCATCATGTGTGTGAGATACTGGAGACACAGTGGGGAACAAGATGGTGGGTCTCATTTGACATAGCCACATAGCTCATGTAACACATAGTCCCAGGCTGTGTGATAAAGCTGTGATGAAGGATGCTTAGGGCACTTTGGAGGCCAGAGGAGGCCACTAACCTGCCTGGATGAGGAGGAGAGAGTTAAGGGGATGGTGCACTGGGAGCAGTCAAGTAAAGGGGCTGGAGGCCAGAAAGAGATGGGGCTGGAGAGGCTCATGGAGCCCAAATATGGCTCCCAGCTCATGGCTTTGTCCTTGCGCAGGGCTCCCATCCCCACACCCCTCCCTGTGGTCCCACCTTCCCAGAACCATCTCCCCAGGCTGAGTGGCCTCCCTGACCCCTGGGCTCCTTCCAGCCCAGCCAGCCCTACTGTGCAGTGAGCACTCCATGCAGCTTGTGTGCACTTGACCCCCCAGGCCATATATCTCAGGGCTGAGAAGCCAAGATCTCCTCCAACCCACTGGCTGTGAGGGAAGGGTCAATGTCTGTCCAGTGCAGCGATTCTCAACCTTCCTAATGCCGTGACCCCTTAATACAATTCCTCATGTTGTGGTGACCCCCAACCATACAATTATTTTCGTTGCTACTCTATAACTGTAATTTTGCTGCTGTTATGAATCGTAATGTAAATATCTTTTTGTTTTCCAATGGTCTTAGGCGACCCCTGTGAAAGGGTCATTCGACCCCCAAAGGGGTCGCGACCCACAGGTTGAGAACCGCTGGTCCAGTGGATGAAGCTATTTAGTTTCATCCCACTGATCAATAATCACTTATTTGGCACCTGTTTTGTGCCAGTCTTCCCACTTTGGGACTGGGGTTCCTCCCTGCTTGGTAGCCTCCCTCCCCAGCTGGCCCATGCCCCAGCCAGGCTCCTGTCAGCCAGGCAACCAGTGGGTAAACACACCCCGCCCTCAGCCTCAGTCCATCCATCACAGGGCTGAACAAGGGCCTCCTGTTAATGAAACGGGGTGGGGGCTAGAGAAGGGCCAGAGGAGGGGGCATGAGGAATTGGGGGTAAGGCTCTGTCCACACACACCCCTGCCCCAGACAGAGCTGCAGAAACTTGGGTGGGGTACCCTTTTCCTTTGGCAAGGCTGTGTGCCTTTATGAAGAGGGAAGGGATTATGTGACTTCCCTCTGAGCATCCAGGTCCCAAATCAAAGAGACAGGACAAACCTGCCTTGCTGAGCCTCAGTTTGCCTGTCTGGAGAGTGGAGACATTACCAACTAAGAACTCATCACTTTTTGTGGACGAACTCATTCAGTTCTCACGATGACCAATGACCATAAGAAGAGGGGCTCTTAAGGTCTCCATTTTCACCATGGTTTTGACTGCTACTGTTATGGTGTGCAAATCTTTAGGCATTTACATTTTCACTTCATTAGACAGAGAGGCCCTGCTGCCTCCCACAATGACCAGTTCCTGCCTCCTGAAGCTGCAGAGGGTAGGAGTGAAAGGAACAGAAAGGGAAAACCCACAAAAGTGGTTGGCAAGGTTTTGAGCGTTTGGTACTTTACTGAATAAAATTGTAGCCACTGTATTTATCATTTCCTTGTTTCTTTATCATCACCTTTCAAGGAGCCTGGGACAAAATGGGCACAGAGCTGGGACAAATGGAGGGTGGGAGATAGACAGGGTTTGCTGAAGATCAGAGAGCAAGTCAGGGTGAGCCTACCAGGCTCCAGTGCCCAGATGGCACCTTGTCTCCCTGCCCCCCACCGCTTGGTCCTTCTGGAGAGATGGGTTTAGTGGGGCTGTTAGAGGCAGGCTGGGTCAGACTCCTTGGCCATGGCCTCCTTCTCTGCTCTGATGAATTCCCCAGACCCTGGGCCTGCGGCCGAGCCCGCCCAAAGCAGGGCGGCTGCCTTCCCGACATATTTTCCCTCTGGATTCACAAGGGGAGGCAGCTGGGCAAGCTAGGGGCGCCCACATGTCTCCTGGCCCAGTGGGCCTCTGCCAGGAGGGGCCTCGGGGGCCCCATCACACAGGCACCAGCCCCATGGCCCCAGCCTGGCAGGGCTCCCAGAACTGCTGGGTCTGGCATGATGGGAAGGGGAGCTGGCTGGGGTGCCAGCCAAAGGCTCAGGCCAGGAGGTCCAGAGCAGTGGAGGTTTCACAGTTAATGAGGGGCCTTGGCCAGCATTTCTCATCTGGATTCTGTAGCCAAGGGCAGGCAGGCGGGTGTGAAAGCCTTAGGGGTCCTGCCCTCCCCAGTTCTAATCCCGGCTGTGTGACCTCGAGGTGTCTCATCTCCTCACCCAGGAAAATGTGAATAAGAACTCTCTGAGGTGTAAGTGACATAGTGTGTAAGTCCCACGTTGTATAATGAGGCTGACACTGGAGCCAGATGCTGCCCACGGGTTCACTCATTCAGTCCTCTCAAAAAGGATCACCCCCACTTTACAGGTAAGAAACTGAGGCACAGACAGGTCAAGCAACTTGCCTAGGTCACACAGCAAAGCTGTGCCTGGCTGACATTCGAACCCAAGTGTGTCCTAAAGTACAGTGCTGGCAGGGGTTACTATTATCAATATGAATGATGTTACATTAATTATAAGGAATAATAACAATGTTACACTAACAGTAGCAGGTACTGTCATGGCTCACCCAACCCTCCAACCTTCCCTTTCTACACTGGGTCCCCAGGTCCCCAAGGAGCCCCCAGGCTGGAAAGGACAGAACTAAACAGACACTCCCAGTCCTGGGGGTCAGGCCAGCCCAAGCTTCTCTGCCAGGAATACTCTGCTTTGGATCCCAGAGGACTGTCACACAAGCACCAGCCCTTAAGCTCTGCTCAGGAAGAATAGGGAGGGCTTCCTGGAGGAGGGAGCAACATGGCCAGGATTAGAAGGACAGAGGAAAGTATTTAGAGTGGCAGGGAACAACAGCTACAAAGGCTGGGAAAGAGTGAGCTATTCTGGAAGTGAGACTGGTGTGCATGGGAAGAGGGGGACATTGCCTGGAAGGGGGAATTCAGGGCTGATGAGATCCAGGAGGCACAAGGGTGAAACCAGAACACCCATCTCCAGGCCTCTGTTGTCTGACCTGCAAACGGGACATCCTCGGGGACTCTGCTTTGCCATTCCCTCTGCCTAGAGTTTCCTTCCCCACTTCTCCCCATGGCCCAAACAAGGCCACGTGTGTGTCCAAGCCCCAGTCCTGTGCCCAGCTTGTAGCAGGAGCCTGGCTTCCATGTGCCCTTGCCCCAGCTGCATGAGGCACACACAAGCCCGTCGGCTCCACTGGAGCCATGGTTTTCCTAAGAATTCCAGCACCAGCCTGAAGCGGCCCCCAGGTATTCTGGGTGCCAAGGAAAACAGGAGGTGAGCTCATGGCCCGGCCACAGGCAGCAGGCAATGCAGGCACTTCACTGGAAATGTCCAGGCTGGGGCCAGCTGTTCCCATTCAGCCTCCCCTCCAGGCCCACCCTTTCTCCCTCACCCTCTATGGCTCCCATTGTCCTCAGAAGACAGACTAAGCCCTGTACTACTGGCATTGCTTCTCCTGAGCCTCAAGATGTCTCTACCCTGAGATCAGTCTATCCATCAGGCTCATTTCTGCCTCAGGGCTTTTGCATATGCTGTTCCTCTACCTGGAATGATTTCCTTCATCTTTTTGCCTGGCCATGTCCTCCTCATCATCCTAGTCCTAGTTTGGTGTTCCCTCCTTCCCTGGGGAGCCTGCCCAGACTCTCCCCACCCCAGGCTAGGTCAGGCATCTCCTTGGAGCTCCGACTGCTGCCTGTGTGTCCCCCATCATAGCCCTGGCCCCTCTGGATGTTTATATAGCTGTCTTGCACCAACCTGGACTCCCCATGAGAGAGAGGCCTGATCTGGCTTGTTTAGTTTGTGTCCCCAGCATCCAGCACAGGACATGATATACAGTAAGTGCTCAATGCAAACTTGTGGAATGAATGTGCCTAAAATTTCCCCACCTCTAAGCTCCACATACTTCCCTCTGCCAGAACTGTCTCCACCTTTTCCCTCTGCTGACCTGAGTCCTGTCTTTCCTTGAGGTTTCCTTGCTATCTCCTCCAGAAAGCCTCATTGATTTCTCAGCAGCCTCCCAGGAGAACAGATCTGGCTAGGACTCTACCCTGGCTTCATACCTCCCTTCAAAGTGGCCTTAGGCTAGTCACTTCTGCCATTTCCCTGTCTTTAGAATAGAGGCTGTAAGCCTCCAGAGGGTAGGGGTGGAGAGGGTTAACTCCAGAGAACTGAGGTGTTTTGCATCTCAAGAACATGGCTAGGCTGGGGTGGGGGGATGATCTTCCTGATTAGCAGTCATTTTCATTTTTATTACAGGCTGTTCCCACAGCAGTTGGAGCAGAGCTTGGAAGGTATGGTGAAGTCTCAACAAACACAAGTCTGGGGACCCCCTCAAACCTCCAGCAGGAGCCCTTTAATTTGTGCACTCCCCCTGCTGGGAATGGACAAATGCACAGCCCATTGCATAGGCTGGGAAACTGAGTGGGTTCTCGCCCATGGGCAACCAGGCTGCCCCCACCAGCACCCACCAGCTAGAGAACTGCAGAGAGGATAGACCAGAATGGGGGTGGGAGGAGACCCTGAAACTCTCTGGGGGTGAGGGTCCAGGAGCAGGACCTTATGGATCTGGGTAGGGAGATCTAGGGTCCCTGCTATCATCTGACCCTTCATTTTCCTGTAATAATCATCAGCATTAACAGTAATACTAATTAGTGCCATTGTGTAGGGGGAAAACTGAGGCACAGAGAGACATCACTTGCCCCATTTTGAAACAAGTGAGGAGGGAATTCAGCGTCAGTCAGCGAGACCTAAAGCAGGGACAGCGGTGGAAGTGGGTCCTAACCTTTAGCCACTCTTGACTTTGTTTCCCCAAGTGTGAGTTGATAGGGGCCGCCATGGTGATCGCTTTGTTCCCAGTTGCGCCCCAGATTTGAAATAAAACAGGCACTCAAAAAATAAGTGAATGAGAGGGCTGGAGAGTGGTCCCAACTGTCTCCCTGCCCCACCGACCCCTGCACTGGCCCCCGATGACTCAGTTTCCCTGCCAGGTCTCAGTTCAGACACACCGGGTGGGGCCTTGAACACAGAGGCCAGTGCTGTCTGTTTACCCTGTGGCTGGACGCTGGGCAGGGCCATGGTGGGCCGTCCCTGGGGCGGCTGCGCCGCTGGGATAAATAGGCACTGCAGGCCTCGTGGGCGGCAGAGAGCAAGCTGCAGTCCAGCTCCCCACCGCCGCCATGGTTCTCTCCGCCGCCTGCGTTCTCCTGCTCTCCCTGGCCGCCCTTGGTGCGTCGGGTCAGGGCCAGATCCGGATGGGTAAGCAGAGCCCTCCCTGCGTCCGGCCCTCCCATTCCCAAATGGATCTAAGGACCAGCAGGAGGCCTGGGGTCGCGGATCCCTGGGGCTCGGGGCAGTTCACCAGAGAGTTCTGCGGGGGAGTGGGAGAAAGCAGAGAGCTCGGTAGAGGCTCAAGGAATGGGTTGGTTTCCAGGGTCCCTATGGCAGCGTGAAGTGGCAGGAGCAGGGTCCCGGGGCCCCGACACCCCACCAGCACCCCCTGTCGGTGCAGGTGCAGACCTGGGCCCGCAGATGCTACACGAACTGCAGGAGACAAACGCGGCGCTGCGGGAAGTGCGGGAGCTGCTGCGGCAACAGGTGCGAGCCAGGGTGGGCCGTACAGCAGTGCGAGGGAGGAGAGAGAGGTCTGGAAGGGGAGAGGGGCCTGTAAGGTAGGGGACAGTGGGGGAAGGGGACGGGAGAAGAGGGCCCTTGTGGAGGTGGAGAGAATCCTGGGTACCAAGATCGAGGAGAGGATTGTGGAAAAGGAACTGGGAAAGGGGGCTCCAGGGATAGTGGGTTCCGCAGGAGAGGGTAGGGGTCCGCGAGGTGGGAGAGGGGGGAAAGGGAGTCTCAGGGAAGGAGGAGAGGTGCTGGAAGGGTAGGGAGTCCGAGGGGAGTGGGTCCGGGGGGAGGAGAGGGGAGACCCGGAGTAGAAGGAGAGGGATGGAGCCCTATTAATTACACCTCTTATCCCCGGCGCGGCAGGTCAAGGAGATCACATTCCTGAAAAACACGGTGATGGAGTGTGATGCATGTGGTGAGCGCAGCTGGGGAGGCAGAAGTCGCGGCGGCCGGAGATCAAGAAGCTGTGGGGAGACAGAGGCAGAAACGAAGAGCGAAGGAGAAACGGGGAGGAAAAGAGGAAGAGAACGGAGTCTAACAGATAGATTGGACGAACAGGGAAGGGAGACAGATTATAGGAAGGGGACAAACAAAAAGAGGCAGAGGCCGTGCGGGAGGTGCAAAAAGGTAGAGAGGCGTGGAGGGAAAAGCTAAAAACGCAGACGAGCGGAGAGCTGGAGACTGGAGAAACCCGTGGGGACAGCGTGAGCAGTGTGAGGTGTGGTTCTGGTAAGCTCCGCCCATGGGTGTGGCTCTGACTGCACGCTCCTCCCCCGCAGGGATGCAGCCGGTGCACACCCCGGGCGTGAGCGTGCGGCCCCTACCCCAGTGTGCGCCAGGCTACTGCTTCCCCGGCGTGGCTTGCACCATGACGCCGAGCGGCGCTCGCTGCGGATCCTGCCCCGCGGGCTTCACAGGCAACGGCACACACTGCGCCGACATCAACGAGGTGCGCCCGCCCCCACTGCCCGGACGATCCTCCACCGCCTTCCCCCACAACTCCCCACCGCCCCCACGACCTCCTTTTCCGGTGGGGGTGCTCGCCCCGAGGGCCCCTCACCGCCGGGGGCGCAAGTCCAGAAGACCTCCCCACAGCCGGAGGACACCCACCCCAACCACTGCCCTGACCTCCACCGACGCCCGCCCCGACGAACCCCTTCAAAGCCAGGGACAACTCCTCTACCGCCGGGAGTGGTCCGCCCCAACAACTCCCCTCACCACCAGTGCTATTCAGCCCCATCAATAGATCCTTCCACCACCGCGGGGAGCCGGCCCCAACGACACCCTCCCCCCACACCGTCGGTCATCCACGCCCCGACGACCACTTCCATCCTCTGCTCGGGACGCAGGCCCTCACAATTCCTTCTCCCGCCCATGACCACCCAATTCACCGGGTTCCTGGAACAGCCCCTCCAGGCGCGCCTGGTCGCGCCTCTGGCCGCACCAAGGCAAAGTCGCGTCTGACTCCTGGCACGATGGCCTTCGCCCCACGTGGCATCCTCCTCCAAGTGTTGGCTGATGGTCTTTAGACTTTCTAACTCCAAGCCTAAGGAGCCATAAGGCGCGGCTTTGTGAGGGACCCAGCTCCGCGTCCTCTGATCCTCCGTGGCCCTTCCTCCTCCAGTGTAACTCCCATCCCTGCTTTCCCCGTGTCCGCTGCATCAACACCAGCCCCGGCTTCCGCTGCGAGGCTTGCCCACCCGGGTACAGCGGCCCCACCCACGAGGGCGTGGGGCTGGCTTTTGCCAAGGCCAACAAGCAGGTGAGGGCCTTGAGGGGGAGCATTTTGTTGAGTAAACTTGTCCTCCAGCCTCGGGACCTTTTCCCTGCCTCTTCCAGCGTGAGGGGTTGTGGACCAGGGTCTGGAGGGAGTCAGTGGGGAAGGGTCCGCGTCAGGGATGGTTGGGATTGGGGGCGGAATGGAGGGGACAGGTAGCATGCAAAGGAGACGTGAACCAGGTCCTAGGTGTCTGCGTGAGGGCGGTAATCTATGCGCTCCCTCCCAACCAGGTTTGCACTGACATTAACGAGTGTGAGACCGGGAAACATAACTGCGTTCCCAACTCTGTGTGCGTCAACACCCGGGTAAGGCCCGGGAGGAGAAGGGAAAAACGAAGAGAAGGGGCGGAGGAAGGGGGCGGCCCGAAGTGGCAGCGGCCGGGGCTGACCAGCCGCGTCCTGCGCTCAGGGCTCCTTTCAGTGCGGCCAGTGCCAGCCCGGCTTTGTGGGAGACCAGGCGTCCGGCTGCCGTTCACGCTCACAGCGCTCCTGCCCGGATGGCACACCAAGCTCGTGCCACGAGAAGGCCGACTGCGTCTTGGAGCGCGATGGCTCGCGGTCGTGTGTAGTGAGTGCGGGCGCTTGGGAAGGGGCATGGAATGGGGAGGTGGGGTCAGTGATGCCCAAAAATCTACTCACCACCCCACCCGCAGTGTGCCATCGGCTGGGCAGGCAACGGGCTCCTCTGCGGTCGCGACACCGACCTTGACGGCTTCCCGGATGAGAAGCTGCGCTGCGCAGAGCGCCACTGCCGGAAGGTGGGCGGGGGCATGGGCGTGGTCTGGGGGTGAGCGCGAACGGAGGGTGTGGCCACCGTGGGGTGGGCGGGACTCTGGCCACGCCCCCCACGCCTGCCCTGCACTTTCCTAGGACAACTGCGTGACGGTGCCCAATTCAGGGCAAGAGGACGTGGATCGCGATGGTATCGGAGACGCCTGCGACCCTGATGCTGACGGAGACGGGGTTCCAAACGAGGAGGTGGGCCACGGCGGGGCCTAGGCGAGCTGGGTGGAGCGGGGCTTGGGCGAGGGGCACGGTCTCAGAGGTCGGATTCGCAGATCCCGTAGCGAAGAGGGGCTTCCTGCAGAGGAGGCGTGGCCTCGGAGACGGGCTGGTCTCGGGAGTGACTTTTGCCTCTCCTGGACTGATTCCCCCCCTCAACCGGTCCCGTCCCCCAGGACAACTGCCCACTGGTGCGGAACCCAGACCAGCGCAATTCGGACAACGACAAGTGGGGCGATGCGTGCGACAACTGCCGGACCCAGAAGAACGACGACCAGAAGGACACAGACCGGGACGGTCGAGGCGACGCCTGCGACGAAGACATCGACGGTGACCGTGAGCGTGGCAGGGGGAGGGGCAGGCTTGGCTGGGTGCGGGACTTGGAAGCCAAGGGGGTGAGCTTACCTGAGGCGCCTAGGGCCTCAGATTGTGCTCCGGCAAACATAAAAAACGCCAGCTGTGTCGGATACTGCAGGGCTGTCTGGGGTTTAGGGCCGAAGAGTTGCCATTTTTACACCTGAGCATAGGAGCTCAGTTGGTGCATTCACAGGGCAAGGGGAAGGCCGCTGAGCTGCCCACGAGTGAGGGCCAGTCCCTTCCCTGGCCGTCCATTCATGAAGGCTGGGCCCTGGGCACGAGTACTTGATTTAACTTTGTAGCAATTGTGAGCCAGGGGACAGGTCCCAGGAAAGCTCCAGGCTTGCACCTGCCCTGCTGAAGTCAGCCTGGCCCCTTCCCGATCTTGTGGTCCTGTCTTGTTCCCCTGCTTCCCGAAGGGATCCGAAATGCTGTGGACAACTGCCCCAAGGTGCCGAACCCAGACCAGAAGGACAGTGATCGTGATCGTGTAGGGGATGTCTGTGACAACTGTCCCCAGAAGAGCAACCCAGACCAGGTGAGGGCAGACCACAGCTGGGTTAGAGCTCAGGTGTGAGCCCTAGGCTGTTTAACAGAACTGCACAGCCCAGTCAAAACAGCCTCAGAGATGTTCCTTGGAGTTAGGAGGACCTTGGCTCAGGAACTCGGGGTGGGTGGGAGGCTTCTGAGTCCCCCTGCCCTGATCATGGACCTTGTACTCCCTGCAGCGGGATGTGGACCATGACTTTGTGGGAGACGCTTGTGACAGTGACCAAGACCAGTAAGGAAGACTTCTGGGGTGGTGGTGGGGACCCAGGGTGGGCAGCCCCTGACTGGACCCTCTGGGGATCTCATTGTCTCTCTGTCCACCCATTCTAGGGATGGGGATGGACACCAGGACTCTCGGGATAACTGCCCCACAGTACCTAACAGCGCCCAGCAGGATTCAGACCGTGATGGACAGGGTGATGATTGCGACGAGGATGATGACAATGACGGAGTCCCAGACAGTCGGGACAACTGCCGCGTGGTGCCCAACCCAGGCCAGGAAGACTCGGACAGTAAGGCGGGAGCGGGGCCTGTAGTGGGGATGGGGTGTGTGATGCCACTGGGGCGGAGTTTAGAGTAGGCGTGGCAGGGGCCAGTGGAAGGTGGTGGCGGGGCGGGGGCGTGGTGTGGGCGGGTCCTATCGCTGATCTCACCGCTCTCGGGTCTCCCACCTCCTCTCAGGGAACGGCGTGGGCGACGCGTGCCAGGGTGACTTTGACGCAGACAAGGTGGTGGACACGATCGACGTGTGTCCAGAGAATGCCGAGGTCACTCTCACTGACTTCCGTGCCTTCCAGACGGTCGTGCTGGACCCCGAAGGCGACGCGCAGATAGACCCCAACTGGGTGGTGCTCAACCAGGTGGGGGCAGAGACAAAGCGGAAGGTGGGGGGAGCCCAGGACCCCTACTTAGGGTCCTAAGCTAGGGCCGGGGAGCCGAGGGCCCCACGGCCAACCTGAGGCCCTTCTTCCTTTGACGCCATCAGGGGATGGAGATCGTGCAGACGATGAACAGCGATCCTGGCCTGGCTGTGGGTGAGACACAGGGAGAGGCGAGGTGGCGCTGGGAGCTGCTTGGGGGCGGGGCCAGAAGAGGGCGGGGCGGGGCTAGAGTGTGGTCTGGGCGGGGTCAGGGAGGGGCTGTGTCTGGATTAGGGGTTGGGGGTGAGGCGGGTCTACGGGAGTATCTGGGCACAGAAGGCAAGCTGGACTCTGGAGGAGTGGGGTGTGGGGGCAGGCCAGGGCCTGGTTAAGGGTAGGGGCTGGCATCCAGGACCCCATTGGTTTCCTACCTCCCCAGGTTACACGGCCTTCAATGGTGTGGACTTCGAAGGAACGTTCCACGTGAACACTGCCACCGATGACGACTACGCTGGTTTCATATTTGGCTACCAGGACAGCTCAAGCTTCTACGTGGTCATGTGGAAGCAGATGGAGCAGACATACTGGCAGGCCAACCCTTTCCGTGCTGTGGCTGAACCTGGTATCCAGCTCAAGGTGTGTAGGGGTGGGGGGGGGCCCTACGCGACCTCTTACACCACCCCCTGTAGGAGGCCCCAAACCCTTCCACAGACTCCCAAAGCCTGTACAGCCCCCGGCATCAAACTATGGACCTCAAAGCCTTCCCACTCCCAGCCCTCCTCTGGATTCCCACAGGCCCCAAATCCTGCCAATTCCTCCCACAGGCCCTCAAACTCTCCTCCAGCACCCCCCCAATCTTCCTTTGAGCCCTGAAATCCTCTCACCCAGCCCTAAGCTTTTCTTCATGTTCCAAATCCTGCTGCCAACCTTCTAGACTACACTATGTTATAGAAACTCTCCAGCAAATTTCCCAATTTCTTTTTTTTTAATCGTTTTCTCTCTCTCTCTCTTTTTTTTTTTTTTAAAGATTTTTATTGGGGAATTGGGGAAGGGGAGCAGCCAAGTTGTTGTCCTTCAGTCTTAGTTGTGGAGGGCACAGCTAGCTCAGCTCCAAGTCCAGTTATCATCCGGCCATTGGCAGCTCACAGCTGCTCAACTCAAGGTGCTGTGTTCAATCTTAGTTGCAGGGGTGTGCAGTCCACCACGCCATGTGGGAGTGGAACCAGCAACCTTGTTGTTAGGAGCAGTGCTCTCACCAGCTGAGCCATCCTGCCACCTGTTGGCAGCTCAGCGGCAGCTCAGCTCTGGTGCAGCTCACTGGCCCATGTAGGAATCAAACCAGCAACCCTGTTGCTCAGAGCTCGCACTCCTAACCAACTGAGCCACTCGGCCGGCCCCAAATTTCCCAAATTCTTTAGACTTCAGCTTATTCCATGGATACCCAAAACTTTCTACAGGTCACTAAATTCTCTTGCAGACCCCAAATCTTCCCAGACCTCAAACCTATCCAGACTCTCAAATCCTCATGAGCCCCTAGACCACCACTGCCCCCACGACACACCTGTAAATCTCCATATGGTCCCCAAGAAGGCATTCCTATGGGTCTCCCATCCAAGTCCCCCCCCCAGGGCCTCCATCACTCCTCCAGGACCTGCAGCTACCAGGCAGGATGCTGGAGGGGGGGGGGGCTCCAGTGCCCTGTGCTGACCTAATCTCTGATCTGGTGACCCTGTCCCTGGAAATGTCAGGCTGTAAAGTCTTCCACGGGCCCTGGGGAGCACCTACGGAATGCTTTGTGGCACACGGGGGACACAGCATCACAGGTGAGGCTGTTGTGGAAAGACCCCCGCAACGTGGGCTGGAAGGACAAGACATCCTACCGCTGGTTCCTTCAGCACCGGCCCCAAGTGGGCTACATCAGGTGGGCACTCTGCCTCTGCTAAGGGACTGAGTCCCTGTTCTGCCCTGGCTCCCAGGGGCAGGGAGGAGGTTCTGGGGGCCTTGATCCCCTTGTCTGTAAAGTGTAAACAATGTGGGCAGCTAGAATTAACTGTGATTGACCCTAGGGCACAATGCTACTCCCAGAACCCAGAACACAGCAGGGCCTCACCTAGAAGGCGGGGTCTTACCCACTCTCCGTTTTTCAACCCTCACTCTGTGCTGCCAGGAAGTCCACGTGTTCTGCTTAGTTAGCACCTACTGTGTGCAGGACCCTGATGTCCATCTTGTTACACAGGGAAACTGAGACACAGGTCAGGAGCCCCACCTGTCCTGAGTGTGATCCAGGCAGGAAGTACCCACGGCCCCCACTCTGAGAGAGGAGGGGCCCCATCTTCTAGGGCAGGATGCAAAAGTTCTGAGGGGCTTCACTGTCCCTGCCTAACTGCTCCCTGCAGAGTGCGATTCTACGAGGGCCCTGAGCTGGTGGCTGACAGTAACGTGGTCTTGGACACGACCATGCGAGGTGGACGCCTGGGGGTCTTCTGCTTCTCCCAAGAGAACATCATCTGGGCCAACCTGCGTTACCGCTGCAATGGTAGGTGTAAGGCCTACCGGGGAATGTGGGGTCTGCCCCACCAGCCTCATCCCCTCTCACCCATCTGCCCTCTCTCCCTCCACAGACACCATCCCAGAGGACTATGAGACCCAGCGGCTGCTGCAGGCCTAAGGACAGTGGGGACCAGCCACTAGATGATGGCCACCTTCTTGGCTGCAGCACCAAGGGCTGGCCAGCTTGGGGAGAGGAAAGGGATCAGGGAGGACAAAATAAAGTGTGTGTGTGGCAGGGTGGTGGCTATTGTCTTTGCTTTGGGGAGATGGCAGGGTATATGGCCTTGGAGAGTAGGGACCTGTACCTGACTCCCCTCCTGACTAGAGTGCCTAGCCCTGATTTGGGAGGCCCCAGGCCTGTGCTGCATCCCACCCATTTGTGGTCATGGGCCTGGACCTCCACCCCTGAAATGTCTGCTCCAGGATCGTGGGGAGTGGGTTGCTCCCTTTCCAGGCCCCAGACCCAAGTAGCTGGCTGGTGGGGGGAAGTGGTAAGGGGCGTGTATCTTTGTGTCCATGTTCATGCATGTGTGTGTATGTGGCCTGTGTGTGGCTCCACCTCATGTGCCTGCAATACCCATGTTTCATCTCGGGTGGGGGAGAGACAGGAAAAAAGGGGAGGAGACAGAGACGAAAACATTGGATTTTTATTAGGTTTCATTACAAAGGATGCAAAGGTACAAAGACAAAAGCGTCCACGCCAGAGGACGGGCAGGGGCCGGCCAAGTGCACCCTGAGCCGCCTGCCCCCGCCCGATGCAGGCGTCCACACACACGGCCCACAGGACATCCACAGCTGAGTGTACATGCTGGGGGGGCAGAGCCAGCCTGGGGACAGAGGGACACAGGCAGGGGAGGGCTCCAACTCATAGGTTTGCATATATTAGTGATGCCACCCAGCCCCTGGGGGGGCAGTTTCCTGGGGAGGGTACGGCGGGGCCAATGGACCTCAGCTGCCAAAGCCCTCCTGGTGGCAAAGGCCACAGCACTGTCCCCTTGTCCCCAGTGGGCAAGAGGTCAGAAGTGACTGACAGGTTAGGATGGGATGGGCATCAATTGCCCCCAAATTCCAGAACCCTACAATATGGGAGCAACACCCCTGCCCCCGCATATGCCATATGTCCCTGGCTCCTCAGTATGGGGTGTTGGGGGCTGGCCAGGAGAGTGGAAGGCAGAGGGAGCCGTCTACAGCCCTGACATCCAGCCCCTGCCCCTCACCCTGACTGGGAGCAGCCTGGGGCCCTGAGACCCATGGGTCTGAGCCATTGATAGGAGAAAGACTGAGGCCCAGTTCACAAGGATCATTTCTATTCCCCATGCCCTCAGGAGTTCCCCAGTGCCCAGGCCTGGGGGTGCAAGTCACCCCACTCCCTCTCCTGAGGAATGACCAGTTGCCTGTGGCACAAGGGTATAAGGAGAGGTGCCCAAGTCCCACCTGGCCAGCACCCCTGGAGGAATGACCCAAGTTCCCCCAGTCACAGGAGAACTGGGGCAGAAACACACCAGGTGCCCACTCACCCCAGACAGGCATCCCAGATGGGCAAGGCACTGAGTCCTCCCCCCGGCTCTGCAGGCCATGTGGGGAGGGCTCAGGTAGCCACAGCCCCTCACCTGGAATGCCACCTGCAGGAACAATGGGCCAGGACCAGGATGCCTAGTCCCCTTGACCTTCCAGCCCCCACACTGGGTCCCAGGCAGCCTCTGACCATGGCTCCATCAGAACCCAGGGAGAATGACGGGTGCTGCTGCTTTGTCAGCCCCTCAATGCCTCCAGACCTCACACACCCAGCCTGTACGGGGGTGGAGTGCATTCTTTGGAAATGCAGATAGCTCAGAGTCCAGTGGAGGGGGGTTTGGAAGGATGTTTGGTTATGAACCAGCTCAGGGTCCCCTAGAGGTGGTGGTCTGGGAACGGGGCATGTTCCCATGTGATCTCAGCTCTGGGGACCCCTCTAGTGACAGTCGCTCGTGGGCACTCATCAGGTCCAGGACACCAGACATGGGGGGGTTGGCGATCCTGCTGCCCAGGCCCAGCCCAGCCCTGTCCCACCTGACCAGCCACAGGCCCGACATCTGACATCCACCCTCACTCAGCAGGACGCATGGATGGATGGACATGAGACCCTCCATGCAGGGTCTCACTGTGGTGTTTGACAGAGCTGACCTCACCTGACCCACTCTGACACCTGGGCCTCACACGTGACTGCCCTGCTGGTAGCCCTCCAGGGAGCTCAGCTGATGGAAATCAGGCCAAACACACTGACCACTCAGAGCCCTCCTTCCAGCCCTGAAAATCCACAAGCAGATAACAGCACAGAGAGGCAGAAAAGTACAACCTGCACACTGGAGTGTGAGGTGTCACTAAGGAAGGGGCCATAAGTGCACACCCCTACCCTGGACAGCTGGTCCCAGGGAGCCCTGTGGACCACAGCGAGGGTGGGGCTGGACCCAGCACAATTAGGCCCTTTCTACTGTGGTTTGTCCCCACAGGGGAGCCTGGCTGGCTTTTGGGCCATTGGCTATAGGGTCTCCAAATTTTGCTGAGGGGTTGACCTGCCCCCTGAGCTTTCCACTGAGGGCCCCAGGGCCCCCTTGCCCCGAGACTGGCACTGACCCTTCCTGCCCACAGTGTCAAGGGGAGGGGATGCAGCACCGCCTGTCTTTACCCCGTAAGGGCAAGGAGGGGGGCAGTCGGCATGGGCGTCTGTGACAGGGGACATGATCCCAACAAAACCCTGCCTTTTCCAGTCAGCCCTGGGTACAACCCTCTTCTCTGGAGGACACAGAGGGGCCGACCCCTGGCTCCATCCCCCGTGCCCAGGAGTCACATGGGGGAACAAACTCACTGCCCTGGGGACTTAGAGGGCAGAGGGTAAACCAAGGCAGGTGGGACAGGCGAGGCAGCTCGCGTTCCCAAGGGAAAGGTTTGCACAGCTGAGGGGGCTCGGCCAAAGCCGGGAGTACTCTAGGGGTGCTGGGGGAACAGCACGGCAGGCCTCTGAGCCCATGTGGACCGTGTGTCCAGGCCTGACCTCCAAGCTTGCCCCGAGCACGTGAGCAGGACGCGGGTGGTGGGTGTATATACAAGATGCAGGCCCGGGCCCGCCCCTCATGGCGCAGCTTGCCTGAAGTCACAGTATTTCCACTTCACAAGTCAGAGGACTGATTCCCTTAGGCTGTCTTGCCTCAGAAAGTCTTGGCAACTCAAGAATATTTAGTAGAGAAGTGATATTAAGAAAAAAACAAAGTTTCCTGTTGCAGACCCCATAAGCCTCCCCAGTCCCAGGTGAGGTTAACCCCTTGGAAGACACCGGGACACCTGGCCACTGGCTCCTGGTGGTGGTGGTGGAGGGGGCCCTCCCAGAATAGCTCTGCACCTAAGCCCCTCACAGATCGAGGCCATGTGTTAATACAATGTCACTTGTGCTCCCGGCTACGGGCCTCTCCTGCCTGTCTGCACCCAGAACAGGCACCAGGCAGATGGGAAGCGTGGGCTGACAAGGTTCCCTCACTGAGTTCCCAACGCCTTGTTTGAAAGTTGCATCCAGGAAGGTTGCTTGTAATTTTATTAAGGCCATTTTTAAAAAAGTTCTACGTACAAGTCTAATGGTAACCAAACTCTTCTATATACATGTAGATTTTCTTTTAAAACAAAAATGTCCCCATCGCTATCCCCGCCTCCACTGTGGGGAAGAGGACAGGCCCTGGACCTGGATGGACTGACACCATGTCCCCCAGCCCAAATGGTGGTGGGGACAAGTGACAGGGGGCCTTCTTACCTGTGTGGTCACCCAGCCACTTAGACATGTGCTAACAACTTAGCTGGGGAGCAAGAAGGGATGGTCGCTGGGATTAAATCTGGCTCCCCCAGAGGTGAGGGCTCCCAAGATCCAGGCGGAGGAGTGGTCGCAACACCACAGAGAAATGCACCAGGCAGAAGTGTCAGCCTGAAGGCAGGTGGAGGAGCAAGTCGAGATGCAACTTGGGAGGGACTGAAACAGAGGTCCCTACTAAAGCAGCCAACAGAAAATAAAGCCTGTCTGCTGTCCCTCACAGGGCCTGAAGGGCACAGAGGCAGTCAACTCAGCTTCCTGAGGCACTTGAAGCACCTGGAAACCTGCCACTAAAAACACGCTGTTCTTTGCCTCCAAACCCAGCCCTGCCAGGCGGAGCTACAAAAGAGGTGGCTGGAGGGGTGTCAGCTGGTTCTTGGGGTGGGGGGTGAGAGACAGCCTCGTCTCTGGAGCCTCTGGGAGCAGAGGGGCCACAGATGCTGCCAGCCTCAGGGTCTGGGATGCACCCGCCCTGAGGATGGGCAGGCACCTTCAGGAGGGCCTGGCAGAGCCGGGTCTTCTCTGGAGACCCTTAATAAAAACAATGGCTCCTTCCCAGGAGTCTGTTACGTGGCCGGAGCAGAGGCACTTCCAACCACCTGAGCTTCTGCCAAAGTCCCCACTTGGCACAGCTGGCTTTCACTGGGCCAGCCGGGCAGCCGCTCAGCCCTTCTGTTTTGAGATAACTTGCAGTGAAATTAAAGAGGCCAGAGACAGCTCAGACAGTGGACTGCTTCCAGTTAGCCTAAAAAATGTATAACATAGGATTTCTGGAATAAAAACATGCTCTCAGGCAAGCGTTGGCTTGTACGAGTCAGGTCCTCGTCTACAGCCAAAATGTAAATACAAACCAAAAGAAACAAACAAAAAACACAACAAAAATGCCCTGGCCACCCCCTCCCCACGTATCTGTAAATAACAGTAACAATGAGCACAATACAGAGAAGGAAAGATGAAAACAAGTTTTAAAACCCCCAGAAATGCCCCCTGGCAGCCCCAGAGGGACCTGGTGGGGGGTGAGCAAGGCAGGAGGAGGCTGGGAAGATCTAGCTGCTCCGTTTATACCTTTGCATTTGCCCCCACAGGAAGGGCTCTAGCGTTCTGTGCGCTCAGGAATATAAAAGACAGCAGTCAAAATAGTGTTTATTTCGAGCTGGGTCTGCCCCTCTCTCTGGCACCCTCTCCCTTTGGCGGGTGGGGCTGGCTCTCTACCTAACCATGGGCTGGGGCTGGCAGGTGGGTGACTGGGGACGAAGGAAGGCAGTGAGAGCTGGACAACAGTCGGAAATGAATGTCAGCCCACCACGTCGCAGACCCCGGTGACCCCAGGCCGGTGGCCCTGCCCAACACACTTTCTGCATCTTACAGGGATAGATGGCTCATGGCCCGGGTTAGGAGGTGAGAGAGCACGCGCAGAGGGCAGATCCGAGGGGTCAACGCTCGGCCTCCCGAGAGAGGTGGACAGCTGGGGGGGCAGGTGGGGGTACTTGGCGGCATTGCAAGCTCAGAATCACAAGCTCAGCCGTTTGCAGGGACGGAGTGTGCAGTCCCCAGGCTCAGGGAGATGCCGTCGGGGCCACTGACCGGCGGGGTGATGGTGCCAGACGTTCACTCACAGACGGTCCATCCGGAAGGTGTCCTCGGTGGCCGGGTCGGCCAGAACCATGTCAGGGTCGTTTAGCATGTGCAGTCCGTCCAGGGTCAGGGGATCAATCTTGAGTTCATCCAGGGGGAACTGGCTATCGGAGTCGAAGCTGACATCGCCAACCCCAGCCAGTGTGCTGGTCAGTTCTTTAGAGAGGCTGGGAGGGGACTCTCCAGTCACTGGGAGGGGGAACAAGTCTCAGCTCAGCTCTGGCTCCCCACCTCATACTCTGGGAAGAGGAACTGGGCCACCCCAGGGGTGCTTACTGGGAGTCTGTGCTCCAGGGGACACTGATGTCTGGGGGCATTTTTAGTTGTCACGACTGAGAAAAGGTGCTACTGACACCATAGGTGGAGACCAAGGACACTGCTCAACACCCCATAGTGCACAAGATGGCCCCACCTAGAGAAAAACCCAGCCCCAGACATCAGCAGGGGCCTTTCCCCCTCAGCCAGCTGGTCTCCTCCGTTTGCGTCAGAGAAGCAGGCTAGGACGTGTGCATCAGGGGCCCTCCTTGTGGGCTGGAGGAAGTCTGGGTTCCCCCAGAGACCCAGGTTCAAACCTGAGCCCCCTCCTCTACTTGCAGGGAGTTCTTGGGCCTCAGTTTCCCCATCTGGGAACCAGTATGCAAGTCCTGGTGTTCCTCAGGTGTCTAAATCACCCTCAGGGTGGGGAGGAAGCACCGAGTCAGAACTTGGGGTCCAGGCATGACATCCCCACAACCTGGAGATGTCAGTGGGGACCACCAGGGGGTGTTCCCCCCCAATCCCATGACAGCCCCAGCTTACAAGGGAACTGTTTCCTTCTTCAATAAAACCCAAAACCTTTGGGGAGAAGCTAGGGGTGGGGAGGGCATCGGAGGTCTGAGCTCTGTGCTAGATAGGGCAGGACTTCCTCACACGTCATGTGCATCCCGGGGCGCCTGGGCACTGTGCTTAGGCCTCTTGGGGACATTTATTGCGTGTAAAAGGTGTTACATATCTGTTGGCTGCAAAAGACATACCCTGTCAGGGCCCACCCCCTGCCCTGATCACCTGCGTCCCCAGCACACTGAGGGTTCAGGGGCCTGGGTGGAGGGTGTGGGGCTTGGTGACTGGCTGTCTAGTTCTTGCGCTGAGCACAGGGTGCTGGATGCCTGGTCTAGGGTCCAGGTGTGTGTCCCCCTGGCCTGTCTGCAGCCCAGCAGTAAATCAAGGTTGTGGGTCTGGCCTCCTTGGGTCCATGTCAAGGGTGGGGACACCTCAGTCATGTCATGACTCACCCTCAGGGTAGGTGGGGGGGCTCCCTCTCCCCTGGGCCTGAGGCCGATTGCAGCTGCCAGACCCTAAGAGGACACCAGGACTGAGACCCTTGCCCAGGACGACATGCACAGGGCCTCACCTGTGAGAATGATGTTAGGAATACTGCTGTGGCTGGGGTAGCCCAGCTGCTGTGCGTCTGGCAGGCTCCCGTGGCTGCCTGTCAGGCCCATCATGGCTGCCTGTGAGTAGTTGAGTGTAGAGCCCGGGCTGTACAGACTGCTGGAGCTGATGGCAGTCTCCATCATGTTGAACTGCTCCAGCTAGGAGGGGACACAGGGTGTGAGGCTGGCCGCTAGCCCCAGCGGCAGTGGGCTGGCCTTCCTGCAGCTGCTGGGACCACCTCAGTAGGATGCCCAGTGCCATGCTCAGGTCCACCCTGGGGTACCTGCATGAGTCCCTCTGCCCCAAGGTATCACCCTCTCTAAGCCCACCTGGGCCTGCCCGTACACTCCACCCCCCTCAGGGCTTGCTGAATGGATGGATAAATGGATGCATGGGGAGTAACCAGCTCCAGGCAGCGGCCAATCCCTCCTGTGCCTGCATGCCTGACCCCAGCCTCCACAAAAAGCAAGTGTGACCTCCCGCAAACCCACATGCATGGCCCATGACGAGTGCCACTGTGACAGCCACTGCCCATCCCTGCTGGCATTCAATGGGCACATGCCAGGGGAAGCAAGAGCAGCCATGCGCTCCACTGCCTGGAGACAGAAGGGGCAGGAGTGGAGCTCATGCCCAAGGGAGGGCAGAGTCTGGGCGAGCGTCTGCTGGGGGCACTGTGGCCCAGGCGCCCGCTCACCTGGTGGGACAGAGCATTGGCCTGCCTGGCCGCCATCTGCTGCTCATAGTACGAGTCCCCAAACACACTGCCCAGGGTGGAAGAGTGCTGTAGATAGAAGAGAGGCCTGCTGTTGTCACGGTCCCTGAGACCAGGTTGAGGGGGGCAGGTGGTGGGAGCTCTCATAGGCCTATTGAGGCCACAAGGAAGTCCCTAGGACCTACTGGGGGATGCACAGGATGAGGGGGGCTGATGACAGCCATTTCAGGGCTCCCAGGAAGGCCCACTCTGAGCTGGTATCCCCCCTAATCTCAGGATGACTGCTTCTTTCCACTGCCTACTCCTGGGGGGCATCTGCACCTTGACACCTTCCAAAGTGCCATCCCCTATCTCTTCTCCTTGAGCCCAGGTGTAGGTGACCTCCGTTCCATCAGACAGAAGATGAGGGGGACACATGGAGATCAAAAACCCCATCTGATAGGCCCCAGAGGAAAGTGTGTGACTGGAGACAAGGGGGGAGGTGCCCTGAATGTTCAGGATGGGTCAAGCACTTGGTGACCCTTGTCAGGCCCCTGGGGAGACATGGGACAGGCCAGCAGGCCACACACACATGGACAGGACAGATGCAAAGCAAACACAGGACAAGCACATAGAAAGCCCCCTGCCTACCTGTTGGCCCCTTGCTGCCTGCCCTCAAGACCCCAGGGTCCGTGGGCAGGCATGTAGCCCCACTCATGCTTGTTCAAGGCTGGCTGGAGCAAGGGGGTGGGGGCTGCCCCTGGGAGAGGAGCAGGGGCCAGAACCTCAGAGGCAGTGGAGACACTAGAAAGAGGACCTTGGAGCTCCTGCCCACTACTGAGATGCTGCCAGCGATGGCAGGATGGAGTGGTGGGGTGTGGGAGGGAAGAGAGGGATGGCCGGCATGTGGCCAGACTGCCCCTAGGCACCAGGCCTGGAGAGAGACATCCCTAGCCCAGACCCCAAGTCTGTCTCCTCTGCAGGGCAAGGTAGCTTGTGAAAGCTATTGCACCGTGGCCATTCTCTTGTGTCCCAGGCGTGCCTCCTCTCAAATGTCTCCACAAAGGCCCTGGATCCCTCCCTTTGAGCTCCATGTTCTAGAAAGGTCTCCACATGCTCTGACAATGGCCGAAGCTTGAGACTTGGGCCTCCATTCCAGATGGGGTTGGCCACGGATCTACCGGCTGCTCTGGGTGTTCAGTGGGCTAAGAGCAGAAAGGAACAGACAGCTACCCCAACGGCAGGGAAGCCCCTGGGGACAAACGTTCTACTCAAACACCAGGGAAGAGTTAAAAATCACCAGCTTCAGGACTGAAAAGGGGGCTGAAGGTTTCAGCTGGGTTTGCCTATGAAGGAAACAGGTTTGTTCTGGGGTACCTGTTCCTGTGCCCAGGGCCTTGGTCCCAGACAGGCACAGTATGCCCATGGAACCCCAGGTTACAGTTTCTCTTGTGATGCCATGAGCGTTTGCCAGAAAGGTCTGCTTGGAATGGAAGGGGGAGGCAGCACATGGGACACAATTCCAGTTGCCTGAGGCCCAGGACATCTGCTCAAAGCCAGGTGTGGCCCCCACTGCCCCATGTATCCAGGGGGGATGATGGCTGGGCCAAAGAGGCATGGGGAGGTCTGGGACCATGGGACTGATGAGTGTGTCTTGCAGGACCTAACCTGCAGTGGAAAGTCAGGTCTGCCCTCTGCCTGGTACTGTTTGCCTCTGAACAAGCCCCTTGTCCCTCTAAGCCGGTATCTCCAGTTGGGGTCAGACAACCTGACAGCTCCGCCCTCACACCTGAGTGAGCAGCCTGCCTTCCTCGCCAGCACATAATGGACAGACATGGACCGACTAACAGGCATGGGCTTGACGAAACAGGAACACGCTCTGCCTGGAATGGACGACTTTGGTTCAGGCAAATATCTGAGAAAAATCTGCTCAACCCTTAAATTCCCATCCTGCCTCAAATTAGAGGGACAGGCCATCTGGGACAGGCCCTACCTGCTGCTTCCCCTGCCTGAACCAGGTTCTCCGACCCCCTGCATTCCACGGCACCACAAGATGAGACCAAACACTTTCCAGGAGCCATGAGAGCTCAGAGCTGACGTGGATGGACCAAGAGTGTGCAGACACCAGGCTGAGCCCCGGCCTCTCCCAAGCTTACTGCCACCCTCCCCGCCTGCCTGTGGACCAGGAGGCTGCACCCCAATGTTCCCATCAGGATCCCTGACAGCAGTAGGTGGTGGAGGAAGTGCCTTGGGGGGGGCCCCTCCTGTAGTAGATGGAGCCTCAGGTCCTCCTTGAGTGGGACCCCCACTGTCCTGACACACAGGGCTGGGCTCAGGGTGCATGTCTGAGAGCTGTGGAGATGGGTGACAGTGAGGCACATCCCCAGGGACAAAGGAGTCTGATGTCATTCCTGCCAGGTCCTGCTTGGAAGGGCAGCTCTGCTCCCTGATCTATGCAGGAAAGAGAATCCTACCTCCCCTGGGCAGAGAATGAGGCCTCAGGGCCTGGGGCACTGCAGGGTTTCTCAGCCCGGTGACATTTTGGGGACAGAGGGGAGAGGTCTCAGGGAGGCTCCACTGCTAGAGTGAGATGTTTCAGGCCCTGATGTCAGCTTTGCGGGCACACTTTCTCCTCTCATGGAAAGATCTGGATGGAATGTGGCCATGGCCAAGCCAGGCTGGTGGGAACCCTGAGGAACCTGGACAGGGTCTGTGTATGTGTATTAGAGATCGGGCCTCAATTGTGCTGGGTGTGGGGGGGGAACTCATGTCTGACGGGCCTGGTCAAGCCCTGACTGTTGCCTGTGGCCGGACTCCGTCTCATCTGTGGGAGGGGGACAAGGACCCAAAAGACTGCAGTGCTACTCAGAGAAGCTTCCTGGGGGACATGACTTCCTATGAGGCAGAGGGGAGGAGGCTGAGTTGGAGCCCCCACCACAGCTTGCAGTCACCTCAGCTGTGCCCCCAAAGCAAGGGGAGCACCCCTATTTCTGAAAGCCTCGAGGCGCCAGGCCTCAGGGCAAGCAGACGCAGGTGGGGACATATGCACAGGCTGCTGGGTGCGTGTTCAAGCAGCATGTGGTGTGTCCCCAGCCACTGGGCAGAGCCAGGGTGTGGCTGACACTGAGGTCAATAACACAAGTGAGGAGCCCGCCACCCCCCAGCTGGGGCCTCACAGACCACAGAAGTGCAGCACCTTCTCCCCCGCCACCCCGTGGAGCGGACGAGATGGGATGAACTGAGGCGTGAAGCACAGATGGTGGCAGGCAGGCGGGGGCACAGGGATGTGAAGTGAGGCTGGGGCATGGGGCGGCGGCAGCCCTTACTTGCGGGGAGCTCCCAGGGGAGAAGCCTTGATTGGAGACAGGTGAAGTGGGAGACTGGTTGGCCGGGGAGCCAGCACTAGTGCGGTACTGCTGCAGAGCTGGGGCCTGCGACAAGAGACAGGTCAGAACTCACAGGCCCCAGCCTGGCTCCCCACTGAGCACCCCCATAGGCTTTCCCACCTTAGTGAGCAAAGGACTTGGGGCACCTGCAGGAGGAGTGGGCCCCTGAGCCCTGCCAGAGCCCGGGGCCTCATGGGGACCTGCCTCCAAAACCAGCTCCCAGGTGTGGGGGCTGCGTTTAGAGCCTGGAACCCAGCCTAACAGAGACTCCCTAGAGGGCTGTGAATGTGAGGGAGGAGTCTGCCTCAACTCGGCAGGCTTCAGAGCACTCACCCCACATACATGTGCACACAGCCACATACATGCATACCCACGCACAAGCAAGGGCTGGGCAGGCAGGGGCTGCCTTTTGCTCCCGACTCTGGGTGGGTCTCTGGCTCTCTGAGCCTCGAGTCTATGTACTGGTACGTCCCACCTGCCTCAAGGTGGTGGCACTGACAGCAAAGGTCATCTGAGGTACACTGCAGAGCTCCCAGAACCGGGCAGTCACCATCACCAGCATTACTTGAGACAAGCCTGATGGGGTCATGCTATCCAGAGAGCTCAGAGGGGCGGCTGCCTCCTTGCTCAAAGGTAGAGGGCCCTGGCTTCTTGCCAGGCCCCTTGGGGGCAGGACAGGCTGGGCCAAGACCTCGATTTAGATCTTGCTCTGCTCCCAGCCTGGCCAGGACCTCCTGTGTGCCTCCAGGAAAGCTGCCTGACCTCTGCAAACCTGTTGTTCACTGAGGCCTGGACAGCCGGCCCAGGGCCCCATAAGTGCTTGGTTTCCCCTCCTTCCTCAGTGGCCTCCTTTGAGCAATTTGGGATGGAGGCTGAGCCTCGGCAGGGCACAGAGGCTCAATTAGCAGGGTGTGGGTGGTACCAGCATGGTCACTTGTGAAGACCAGGAAAATGTCCAGAGGGATGTTTTTCTTGCCTGGGTGTATCTGCAGAAACTTCAAGGGAGCCAGCAGTCCCTGGGGGGTTATATGGCGATAGATGCCCTAAGCTGGGAGCCCCCTGAGGAGCGGTCTATGTGCCTGGCCTAGATGCCCATGCTCCCAGTGACTGGCTGGCTCCAAAGCCAAGCCCCACTGCAGGAGGACATTGAGAACTGGGTGCCCAGGCCAGCCCTGGCATCAGAGCAGCCACCACACCTGTTTCTGCCTAAGGAAAGGCTTAGGTGCTTTCCTGTGTGCATGCGGGGTGCTGGGTCTGCCCTCTGAGGGGTTGAAGCAACTTGGAAATGTGGGTCTCTACTGTTAGGTTACTGCCTGCCCCGCCAGTTCGGGGCGGGGGGCGGGGGGGCTGTTCTTTGTAGATCACATGAGGTTCTGATGGCATTTAGCCTGTGGCTGGCAGCTGAAGGCTGAGTGGGGAGGGCTCGCTGTGCCCCAAACATGGGTCACTGTTCCTCTGGATATAGCAAAAGGTAGCTGTTACCACCTTCTTCCTACCAGGATAACCATAGTCAAAGTCTGAACGATCAAGAAGCTTTGGGGTTGCAGAGGTAAAAACCCAGCACTTATTACCCTGAGCTTAGCCCAGATAAGGGGGTCCCATGGCCTGAACTACAGCCTTCTGGGCCCCAGGTAGGGGTCCCATCCTATAATTGTGCTGCAGTCCCCAACCTAGACAGGAGGTCCCAGGGTCTGAGCTGCAGCCCTTCCTCTCCTCCAAATTCACCTCCACCCCTCTGGCTCCCAGAAGCCTGTTCCCCAGGCCCTGAGAGCAGTGCTCTCATTGCCTCCAGCAAAGCCCCTTTTTGGGTGGGAAGGACAGAGGGGGAGACATCAAGCGCTATGGAGAAGGGCTTGGCAGCCAGACACAGGTGGTCCATCTTGGGTGAAGTGTGGGGTACTGACCCCCACTTGTGCCTGTTTCCACATGTGTACATGGGGTGAAAACCTCGACTTGAGGATTCCAGGAAGAAACCTCATTGTGTGCCCAGCCCCCAACAGTGTCTGCTTTAGCCCTGAACCCTGGAAAGCTGGCCTCTTAAGTGGAGCCTCGAGGGAGCTGCAGACGCAGCTGGGCGCCAACGGTCCTTGGGCCCTGGATGCCCAGTGGGGCCTTTCACAGCCCTGGACTCCTCCTGCACAACCTCCCAGCCAGGTCCCGCAGACCCCGTCCTGGGCTTACCGAGGCGATGTCGATCCCCATTGGCGGCTGGCCTGGGTTGTCTGGGGGGGACTGGGGGAGAGAGGACGGTACTGTGACCGAGAGCGGGGGCAGCTGGGGCCCCCGCGTCAGGCTGGTGCTTGGCATCAGGGGGCCACCCAGGGGAAGGCCAACAGGCACCTGCGGAGGTGGTGGGGGTGGCTGCTGCTGGGATGCGGGCGGCGGAGGTGGTGGGGGCTGGGGCTGTGGTGGGGGTGGCTGCTGCGAGCCCGCCTGGGTGAAGAAGGCGTAGGGCAGCTGCTGCTCCAGCGACAGGGCGTCCATGGCCATGGCCTGTGGAGAGAAGAGGGCATCAGGCAGAGGCGTGCTCAGCAGTGAGGGCCAGGCCATGAGCACCTGGGCCTTGGGGGCCCAGATGGCCTGGCAAGCTCAGCAATGATGTCATGGATGAATGAAGTGACATCCACACCCTGGACCTGGGAAGTGCAGGCCTAAAGGGGGCCTGGCCCAGGGCCACAGAGGGTTAGGCTGCCGCTGGACAGGACCTGGGTGTCTAATCCATCTGGCTACACCCTGCACCCAACCAGCCTTTCTTTCACCCTCACCACACACTAAGAGGCAATCACTGTCCTCTATATTTGCTCAAGCTCAGGAGGTCCTTGGCTTCTCTGGAGTTTCCCCACGGCGGGGCAAGCACCAAGCACCACACTCCTGTAGCCCAGCAGGTGGCCAGCGCCAAGTCCCTCTGGGGTCCTGGAGGGGAAGGGGCCCTCCACCACCACCCTACAGCCTGGCCCATCTGAGGAGGTTAGAGAAGGTGTGGGTGTTGAAGGCACTGGTGTGGCTACTCAGTGATAACCAGTTCAGGCCTTCTTGGAGCTAGAAAGAGGAAAAAGCCAGAGGGAAGTTTTCAATGGTCATGAATCTGTGCGGACAGTCCCTGGGGGAGGTGGGACATGCCCCAGAGCTATGGGATGTGAACACTTAGCAGATGCCCAGCCTCTAATAAGCGGTGGGTAGTTAGTGATCAAAAAGGACTTTCCAGAAAGGGAAAGCAGACCTGAGAAACTGGAGGTGGAGAGACTGATGACACAGAACCACCATGGCTCTGTTTGGATCCCGATCTGAACAAGACCACCATAAAAGCAGACAGAGACAAGGAGGGGAACCATGCCCTGGACAGGTGTGGAGGAGTGACTTAATTTTGTTATAAGTGGGTGATGCCATCAAGGTTATGTTTAAAAACAAACAGCAAAAATGTTATCTGTCAGGGATTTTTAAAGACAGACAAAATGGACAAATTCCTAAAAACATACAAGCTACCAAAACTGACCCAAGAAGAAATAGAAAATCTGAGTAGACCTGTATCAAGTAAGGAGGTTGAATCAGTAATCAAAAACATCCCAGTGGAGATAAAGGCTCAGGCCTGTGTGACTTCACTCGTGAATTCTACCAAACATCAATGCTTAACATCAATGCGTCTCAAACTCTTCCAAAAAACAGCAGAGGAGGGAATGCTTCCTAACTCATCCTATGAGCCTCGACTAAGTCAACAAGAATCAAATTACTGAAACCAGAAATCAAAGTGGGAACATGCTAACTTTACAGAAATAAAAGGGTTAAGAGAGAGTACTAGTACTATGAATACACCAGCTTGTTGTGTGACCTAGATGAATCGGACCAATTGCTACACACACAAAACTACCAAAAAAGTAGATGAAGCAAAATTACAGTAAATTAGAAAAAGAAAAAAAAATACTGTATAAATTTTATTTTGGAAAACTCCAACTAGATGCTAAAGAAGAAAGCACCATAATGAAGCACGCCCACCCACATGGCATGAGCTAACATCAGACCTGTCCGGACAGCACAAGGAGACTCCAGGTCACTGACTAACCTATTTCCCATGTGTTTAAAAGTTGATAAAAAGCCAAAATGTTTCTGCAGCCACCCGGAAGGAGCGGGAGGCCTCCCAGAGAGGCAGAGCTGAGCCACCCCCCACCACACTTCGCCCTCACACCTGAGTGATGGGTGACAGCGGGGAGAGGGTAGGCGACACCTGCTGCTGGGCCTGCTGCCGTTGTGCCTCGGAGCTCAGGGATAGCGGGCTGACACCAGCTGGTCGGTGCTGCGGCGAGGAGCCTGGTGTGTTCATACCTGGAAGGGAGGGTGGGCATGACTCCAGCCTCCAAAGGGCTGCTCACATACTCACAGCCACTGCTGGGGACAGCTCAATCTCTCAGAAGCCATTGAGCATGTCCTGATTACCAAACCCAGGATGCCCCCCCTCCAAGGCCCCAATACTTTGACCTTGGGGCCCCCAGCTCTGTGCAAGCTGTTCTCCTTCCCTCCTCCCGTGCTGACCAATACTCTCCACCTGATCCTGCCATCCCTCTAGCAGGGGCATATCCTGTGGGTCCTGCCAATCAGGCAGCACTTCCTTGCCTCTGGACCACCACGTGATTGGCCCCTAATTGGACATGTAACCAGACTGATCCAATGAGCGCTGTCCCAGGATTTTCAACGTAACTCTAGGGAGGGAAGTCTGAAACTATATGTTGGAGCCTCCTGTGGCTGGAAGGGGGAGGGTAGGCTGGAGAATGAGGAGGGAGAGGTAGCATCTGAGCCCTGGATACAGTGGCACTTCCTGTCTTTGGGAGACAATCTCCTTTTTTAACTAAACTGGCTTGAGTTTTGGTTAGTTTTAAGCATGTCAGTCCTCCCCAACACTGCCAGTTTCCTGTTGACCCTCCTGCTCTCCTCACCTTCCTTTGATGCACATCCCTTCTTGTAACCACTCTTTCAGCCAGATCTCTCAGCCCCAGACCTGTTATCTGGCAGCTCCTCCATCCCATCTCATGTCCATGTTCTTCTCCCTGCACCTATGTACTCTCCATACTGGAGGTCAGCCTCACTGGGATGCCCAAAGTAGAAACTGTTACTCTTTATCTTCTTCCAAAACCATTGCTTCTGATGGAGCTCCTGCCACAGACTCCATGTTGCCCCCTCCTTCTCCTCAGCCCCCTCCCCAGTGATCTAATTCCTGGATACATCCGTTGTGGAAGAGCTGAGTGAGGTCAAGTTCAGGGTGGCAGCAGTTGAGGCATGTAGAGTTATCTTGCAAGGGAGGCAACAGACCCCCCTGATGCCAGGGGAAGCCCTGGGGGCCTGGCCTGATCCTCAACACTTGGTTTCCTCGTCACTGAGATGGAGATGATGACAGCTGCCCTTGTGTGTTCACCATGAGGCCCTAATGAGGTTATGAGAAGCTCTGGTAAGTCTGGCCCGCAGTCAAGGCCAGTGAAGGTGCCTGACTCACCCGGGAGAGCCAAGCCTATCCTGCCAAGGGCACCAGATCAACCTTGTTCCAGCGGGTAAAATGGCAGGTTCATGGGCCAGCGGGAATGCACCCAGCACACACTGTGGGAGATGACAGGCTGCCTTCTCTCTGCCCAGGGCAGCTGCTTGCAGGGGCTGTGTCATCTGTGCGAGGCGAGCCCAGTCACGCCTGCACTTCCCCTTGGACTCCCTTGGCAGCTTCTCTCAGCCCAGCACTGTTGGGGGGTCGGGGGGGACTGGAACTTCTGATTGCTTGTGAGGCAGGGCCCAGGGGTCTAATTTCTACACAGACCTTGGGACCCAGAGTCAGGCTGCTGTGGACACAGCTATGTCAAGTCAGGCACTGTCAAGGAGCCTGGGCAGTCCTGGAGACACCTGCTCAGAGCACACGTGGAGTGGGGACCCTGGGGCATTCTTTCATCTTCTCTGAGCATCTACCACCTCATGTGTCCAGCAGACTGAGTAACATGCAACACCCAGAGAATAGATGTCAGGGTTCAGTAAGAAGCAGAGACAGGTGCCAGGAGTGAGAGGGACAGTGGGACTACAGGGGCGGGGGGACGTGTGGCAAACTGGAGCACTCTGGCCCATCTCGAGGCACAAGGCCTTGACCCACCGCTGCTAGGCCTTCTGATTTAAGAGAAGCCAAAAATCCAGATTTTTACATGCACTCTCCTGATGTTGAAGTGTCTATTCAAAGCATCACGCACACATTCATGGGCCAGACAAAATATACCAGTGGGCTGGATTTGGCCCTTGGGCTGCCAGCCTCTAACATCTGCCCTGAATACAAAGGCGTTTTTTAATCCTTTGCTGGGCTGCAGAGTGAGCTCCCGGCCTCACATGGGGGCGGGGAGGGTGGACAGACGCCTTGCTGTTGAATTCCTTTTGGCAACCTGGATCACCTTTGGGAAAAGGAGCGGGGCCAGCTGGAAGGGAAGTCTGGGCAGGCAGGGAGAGCTGCCAGGGGAGGGCGGGCCAGGTGGCAGGGGCCTGGCCTGAGGCACGTAAGCCCTGAGTGCCGGGAAGCTGGGTGCAGAGTAGTGCTAGGAAGAAAGATCTGGGCCTGCTGTCTTCCCTGGTCCCAGTGGACAGCCAAGCAAACGACTTCAGCAAATGTGGAAGAGGACGAGAGGGGCCGCTGTGTCCCTGGTGGGGAGGCCTCTTCCTCCTTGTGGGCTCATGTTCTGACTGGCGGGTGTGCTGGGTGGGGGGGCGATCTCCGCATGTGCCAGGGGCCATGGCTCAGTTTGATTTAAAATGCGCCTGGAAAGCGAAGCCCCTGCCAGGCAAGCTGCCGGAGCGGCAGGTTCGCAAACAACCCAACACATGTCAGACATCACCGGCCGACACTGGAGCCAGGCAGCTCCCCCCACCACCCCGGCTCGGGGTCTACTGCTTTCACATGTGCTATGTTTTCCTGTGCTTGTTTAGACTCTGCTCAGGCTGGAGGTGTACGGCTCCCAGCAGGCGCTGGGGGGCTGCCAAGGACCCTCGGGCGGAGCGGGTGGTGCTCTGGAGGCCGCAGCAAGATGTTAGGGAAAACAGGGCCCAGGAAGCAGCAGTGTCTGCACCAGCAGGGGGCCCAGTGGCCCCAGAGACAACCTTCCAATTTCCTCCTTTGCACAGGCTAGTGTATGCGCTGCTGCCTACCTGTCTCTGAGGGCCATGGATCTTAGGTTCCCCTGAATCTGCTCGTTTGTCCTCTGGGCCTTCCGGGGGGGGGGGGGGGGTCGGGGGCACGGTTGGGCTGATGCCCTCTGCCTTGTGCCTATGCCTTGGCAAGCATGGGGCCAGACGTGTGGAAGAAAGAACAAAGCCTTGACACAGGCCAGAGTCCCACTCCACTCTTCACTGTCTGGCCTCCATCCCCTCCTCTAAAAACCTAGGAACATGGCATCGTCTTCAACACCCCTCACCTACCCCGGCCCTGTGGACATCAGAGCCAGGACTGACTCTCCTCCACTCACCCCATCAACCCAGCTCCCAGGCCAGATGATCGCTCCTGAAATCTCTCTGCAAAGTGTCCAATGGGGCCCTGCCCTGGGCCAGGGCCTGCTGCCCCCTTCGACAGCCTGTTCTTTCTGGGTGGCCAGAGGGGCTGTGACAAACGTGACTTTAAGCATGTGATTCAGAAAATGCTGCATGGCTCTGCCCACTACATTCAGGAGGACAGACAGGTGAGTGCTGGCCATTCTGTAGCCCCTGGGCAGGATGGAGGGCATATGATGTAGTGCTCTCACTGAACACCAACTCCCAACACCTGTGGACTCACACAGGGGCCTCCCACCATCGGAGCTGCTGAAGGCTGCCCCTTCTCCTCCCTGGATGCAAACCCACACATCCCACAGTCAACTGCAGGGGTCACAACAGGGACACAGGAGACTTTGGCCCGGCCCAATAGAAAGCAGAGTAGTAATTCAATAGCAACAAGGTGAGTACAGAACAGCAAGGCTGTGTGAGAAGTCCAGTGGAGGGCGTGGGCAGAGGCCAGGAGGCCTCATTGAGAGGAGGAGGTGTGAGTGGAGATGGGGCAGGTGAGAGGCCCCCTGCAGCCTAAAGGAAGGACCATGAGGGGAGAAACAGCAGATACAAAGGCCCCAAGGTGAGCTCATCGGCTGGAGAGAAGAGGTATAGAGAGAAGAGATATAGGAGATAAGGGGCCAAACAAGGTCCTGAGCAGAGGAAGGCCTGAGCTGACAGCTGTTCTGGGTGGAGAAGAGGCCAGGACTGGGAAAAGGGGCGGCATGTGGAAGCTGTGAAGGGTGGGGAGGGTCTGAGTTGGGCTGGGTCCTGATGGTGGGGCTGACAGGACATGCCAGCGGGCCAGGGTGGGCAAAAGAACAGAGGAATCGAGGAGGACACCCCCAGGTCTTTGGCCCAAGCCGCAAGGAAACAGCACCATTGGCCTCCTGAGAGAACAGGATTGGGGCAGTGCCGGGAGATACTGGAATGGGCAAGGGGCCCATGGGTCATCCCTGAGGACGTGGCCAGGGAAAAATGAGTGTGGAACCTGGGGAGGGGGCCAGGCTGGAGTGTCCAAAGCAGGCAGCCACAGTCAGCTGGAAGGGCAGGGAAAGCCTAGTCCATCCCTCTCTCTGAAGCTCCCAGTGCCCCTCAGAGCCAGTGTCCCAATCCTGGGGGCACCATGAGCCTTCCCACCGCTGGCCTTTACCCAGGCGGTGCCCTCTGCCTGGACACCGTTCTCCTTGGGGCAGCCTGGTAACACAGAGCCCCTGCACTAGGCTCTGCCCCATCCCATGTCTGGCATTTTGGATATGACCCTGCTCAGTCACTGCTCACACACACATGCCGTCCTTACTAGGAGGTGAGCTCTGCTGCGGAAGGAAGTGCCCCCACCCATCCAGCCTTACCCTGGCCAGTGCCGATGCCCAGGTGTGTCAGGTTGGTGGCGAGGTTGCCGGTGCTGCTGGAGCTGCTGAGAGCGGGGAAGGTGGGCTCCTCAGGGTCCAGCGGGGTAGGGAGCGGGGAGGGGAAGTGGATGTTGGTCAGGTCGGGCAGGGAGCCCCCGGTGTTGTGGGTGGCGGGGATCAGGGCTGTAGTGTTTTCCTGGTCGGCGGATGGAAAGATGCTGGGAAAAGGCCAAACACGGAGGGGTGAGCTCTTTCTTGGATGGTAGCTGCCTGTTTTCCCCCCAGAAGCTGCAGCAGTGATGGGAAGGAGCTTGTGAAAAATACTAGCAAATTCTGCCATGCTCGAGAAACAACCATCAGCCTACACCTCCAATGGGACCTTAGGAAGAAAGCTATCCGTGTGGGACAGGGGATGGGATGAGGGTCCTCCCGTTGGCCGGGGACAGGGTGTATCTGAGGGGTGAAAGCATCCTCCACAGAGAGCCTTGCTGGGTGGCCACCAGCAGCTCAGCACTCTTCTTGTCGGGACTTGCAGCTTCGTGAGCATCCGGGAATCAGGGGTTGTCCGAACATGCAGGGCGGGCCTCACTGTGACTTACTTGATTCCAGGGACCTCGCAGGACTTGGGCCGGGACCCTGTCTGAAAGAAAAGACAGCAGAGGCTGAGCAGCCTCCTCATGGCATGGCTGATCTCCCCACCGAGTGATACTCAAGGAGAAGAGAATTTATGGGGTCCCAGGAAGTCCCATACACGAAGAATGGGTGTTCCCAAGGGATTGGGGGCAGGGGGAGGGCTGCCCCAGAAATGCCCAGGGGCAAAACCAAGAGGTGAGTGGAGGGGGTCTCCCTATGGCCCCTCCTGGCTTCATTCTGTCTGCCCAGTTAAATGGCACAGTACAGGGGTGAGGTGGCTCCTTGTCAGAACCAGCTTCCCAGGGGAACGTGTTGCCTGCTATTTACATCTCAACCCTTGACGACTGTGCCACAGCTGTTAACCGCCAGCTCTGTACGGCCACTGGAAACTTGGGAACCTGAAGTTAACCTCCCATGTATTCCTGGATCAGGGCATCACATAAGGAAGCCTGAGGTAGCTTGGACCAGTTGCCCTGAATACACAGAGGCTGCTGCCCTGCCCCAAGCTGACCCGTCTTCCCATGGTGCCCAGAGTTGCGACTCCCTTAGGAACCCCAGTGCCCCACCGCCTTAGGATAGGGATTCTGGCCACCATGCAGACTGGCCTGGGGGCAGGGGTCCCAGGGAAACCCTGTCAGCAGTACGACCCTGGTCTCTCCTCTCTGAGCTGGGGACGCTATGACCACTTAAGAACTGCTGGCTCCAGGCGAGGCCCCTGGACTCTTGTTCAAGGACAAAGCAGGGAGCTCTCTTTCAATGGCAGCAGACATGACCAGACAGAGTCTGTGTACTGATGGGGGGCTCCACTGTGTCACGTTCCCTAATTCCTGTCCGCCTCTGGGGCCCTGGGGCAGACACTCCTGCTGATGTGTTCTTTAGGGATTATCAGACAAGAACATGGACCCACTGGGGAGGGCTGAGCCAGCCCGCCCACACAGCCAGTGAGGGGAGAACACCCAACTGGCAGTGACTGTGTCACCTGAGGGGGGCGTGCGACCTGCGGGCCTTGAGCCTCTGAAGGAACGAGGGTGGAACGGGTTTCTACTTGGCCACGGGCTCCTTAATTCTGGGAGTAAACATTCACTTCATTATCGAATTTTTGCAAAGTACCTTGACAATGACTTTCTAAAGAATCTTTTCAAAAGCATTCCACATAAACAGTATTAAGAATTCACCCATTTCCCTGCCCTGCCCCCAACAAATCCAACGGAATCCCTTTATTGACATGCTCACAGACACATGATTTCACACAGTGGTTAAAAGGTCAGGATATGCCCACCATGCTGGACTCTGCCACCCTCTTCTCACTCCCAGATGTTAGGATTTTTTCCCAACACTCACCATCTTCTCTTCATGGCAGCACCACATTTGGGTGTCTTTGCGTCATCCTTGCGCAGGGGCCATGCTAATCCCTAGTGTCCAATTTTAGTGTATGTGCTGTGGGAGTGGGTGCAGGTTTTAATTCTTTACATGCTTCTCACCAGTGTAACAGGCCTGTGCTCATGGTGAATCGGCCGACATGAGTTGTCAAATCTGAGTGAGGGTCTTACTTCAGGGAGGGGGAAGCCCTCCCAGTGTGCTGTTTCACCAACTTTGCCCGGCTATGCTTACAAAAAAGATCAAGAGGGAAACCGCTTTCGAGAGCCCACAGGCTCTTACCTTCTTAGTGTCCCATGCTTGCTTGGAAAGGTTCTTGTCCGTCTCTGATGTGGTCTCCTCCATTCCTGGGACTGTTAGTAGTAAGACTGAGGTGGGTGGGGGGAGAAGGAGAGTCATAAAAGGCATGTCTGCAGCTGCCTGGCGGCACCAAGAAAACACTTCCCTGACCTAACAGACAGTCACAACGGTGATAGGAGCAGAACTGCCCCAACAGTGACTTCTGGGGATTATACTCAAGTACAAAAAGGGTTTCATTTAAAAATAATAACAATAATTTAAGAGAGCATGTGACTTAAAAAGAAATGAAAATGAAAGCTCTGGAGCTGAAGACATGCATTGATTCAGCCTTCCAACTGGATTGACTTGGGCCTCGGAGGCCTTGGGATACAGAGAACAGCTAAGAACCTCTCCCCGCCTTCTGTGCGTGACCGCCACCCTGTGAACACCTGCCTCTCCCTCTTGGGCTGTCAGCACAGGGGCACAGGCCACATCACTCAATGTCAGCCGGGTTGGGTACATCCACCATGGTAGCTGTGGCCCCCTGAATTAGTCACAGTGGCAGCCAGCCCCGAGGAGGGGAGGAGAAGGAAGGTCTGAGGGACCCAATAGGCATTATTTGAGGCCATGGAACCAGCTGTGCCTGAAGGCCCCTTCCCTTAGACCTTTCAGTAATAGCAAGATTAAACATTTTCTTGATGAGAACCAATTTTTTCATATCTTTTGGAGATTTAGTTTTTCACTTGCAATAGAGCCATAATGCAGCCAGATGGGTCAACTCCTCCATCTTGAAACGTGGAGGAACTGGGTTGTGGGGTGGAGGGTAGCCAGGCTAAGCCTTGACCCCATCACCATCTGGACCCCTCCTAGAGGAATAGGGACAGGTGACATGTCTCCCCTCCCCCTACCCCAAGGACAACTGGACTCTGAGCTGCCAGGGGCCCAGGGCTTGCAGCTCCCTTCCATAGTCACCAGGAGTCCCGGGAAATGGTGATGCCTGTCCACCCGCCTACCCCAAAAGCCCGCAAATTCCTGAGGGACCTGCCAGGGGGATGGCCACCTCAGAACTGCCCCCAGCACAGGGAAAACGAGGGCAGCACCAGGTACTGTGTCCTCATTACCCCTGGGCATTTGGAATCCTGGCTTTTATTACGGAGACAGTTCCTTCTGCAATCTCACCTTCACTGCCCAATGAGCTGGGGTCCCGGGAAGATGGAATGCAGAGAGCCACCCCACAAGGGGTGAAGTTCTGGTGAACAATCCTCCTGTCCACATAATCTCCCTGGTGTGTTTACACGCTCGCACAGTGAACTGCTACCAAAAAGTGGTGAGTGGTTGGGCCTTAACTGTATGTGATTAATTCTCTAGTTTTAGTGTCTTGCGGCAGATCAGGCCCCAGTGCAGTGAGGCTTCCTGAGGCCAGCCCCACAGCATTGAGATCCCCTCTCTGGGTGACACTGCCCTAGTTTTTAAGATGGCATGTACCCTCCTGGAAGGTACCAGGGACACTGCTTCTGTGCCCGGCTCTGAGGAGATGCTGGGGGACAGACTTGCCCAGCTACAAGGCCATGTGCATGGCCTTGTTGGAGAGGAGCCCTGGGCAAGAGGTGAGAAAAAAACTGGTCTCTTTTACACCCGCCATGGTCAGGATGGGCCCAAGGACTGTGGACCAGGAGGGTTCTGAGCAGCAGAACTGGGAAAGGATCGCGTGTGAAGCCCTGGATCAAGCTGCACCTAAAGCTGAACACCTAGCTCTGGCCTGCTCAGTCATGAGCTGATAACTGCCCCTTTTGCATTAAGCTTGCTGCCCCCTACATTTGAAAGAACCTTTAAGGCCCCCAGACTGTGTGGCCATGCCCTGAATCCATGAACAGAAGCCAATGGGTGTTTGCAGGGGCTGTTTTCTCTGCCTAGAAAACTCCTACACACGCTTCAAAAATCCAACTCAAATAGCACCATCTCTGAAGTTTCCCTGAGCCCCTCCCTTTGTCCCACAGCACCCACTGAGTCTTCCTTCAGAGGTCTGTCCACCCAGGGGAGCACAGGGGACACTGCTGGACTTGCCTAACCCAAGGAAAGATGCCACTGTGCCTTGCCCATACCTCTTTTCTGGTGTGCGTCCTGGGACCCGCCCGTAAAGGGGTCTGGCTGGGTGGGTGTCATTGTGCTCTGGTGCAGGGCAGAGTCAGAATTGGTCCTGGGAGAAGGAGAGAAACAGTGAGCCTGGGCCCCAAGGATGATAAAGGAACAGTCCTGGCCCCACTCATCCAGGACATGCCCGATGGGACGGAGAGTAGCATTCACAGGTCATTTTTGTGAGCTGCTGCACCTGACTATTGTCCTCAAAATAACCATGGGGTGACAATGGTTTTTGTCTGCAAAGCCTGTTAGCAGCAGGGATGTCCCTCTATCCGTCCTAACCTGACCCTGCCCATCCTGGACCCCTCCATGCACTTCTCAGCTATAGGGAAAGGACAAAGCCTTCCTGCTGACACCCTTCCAAAAGGGGGCCCAATGGCCCCACAGTGGCCCAGCGTTGGAGGTACGAGCCCCCCAGCCCATCACTAGGTTCCCTTCTGGTGACAAAAACCAATGGGCAACCCTGCCCTCTGGGACGCTCAGTTACAAACCAGGTGTGATGGGCAAGAAGGGAAGGCAGTGACATGAGGCTCAGAGAAGGCCCCAGAAGGAATGCAGCCTCTGGGGAAGAATGCCGTGAGGGAATGGTGGGGGGGGGGTGTGTGGGGTGTCTTGCTCTAATCAACCCAAATGCTGCCAGGAGCTCTGCCCTCTGGGGACAGGGTCGCCCAATCTGCCCCCAGCACAGGTGTCTGGAAGGTAGGTCCCCAGAACAGCCCTCAGCTTCCCAGGGACCTGTGGGGCACCAATGGTGCAAAGGGTAAGTCCAGCTACTTGGCTGGCTATTTGGGGATGAGACTAACAGCTACATGTACCCAACGAGGATGTCTCAGCCACTGAAAGTGACGCGGAGGAAACAGTTCAGGGAGAAGAACAGGTTACAAAGGACCAGGCCAGTCCCTGACCCCAGTGCCAGTCAAGCAGTTGAGAAGTTAGTTGGGGCCCTGTCCCCTACCACTTGTGTGTCCCAGAGCAAGTGTTCTGACCTCTCTGTGCTCAATTTCCTTATGTATACAACAGGAAGGACAACAGCACCTACTCCACAATGCTCTGTGCATTTTATATGTTAATATATGTGATGGTTAATAGGGCCTGATATATGATATATGCTTAGTGGGAATTTAATTATGTTACTGAATTAATTATGTTACTGAATATTAATATAGTATATATGTTATATATTGTATTATATACACACACATATATATATATATATATTTTTTAATAGTTTGCTATTACTTTTGGTGTTTTTGTACTGAAATCACCTACACACATACATATGAGGTCTGACAAATAAGTTCACAAACTGTTGCAACGACGTTGCTAACCTCTTTTGATATCAGAGGGATTATTCATTATGAATTTGTACCAACTGGACAAACAGTTAACCAAGTTTACTATTATATTTGGAAGTGGTAAAAAGGCTACGTTGAAAAAGTTAGACGACCTGAACTTCTCGCCAATAATTCATGGCTCTTGCATCACGACAATGCACCAGCTCGCATGGCACTGTCTGTGAGGGAGGTTTTAACCAGTAAACAAATAACTGTATTGCAACACCCTCCTTACTCACCTGATTTGGCCCCCAGTGACTTCTTTCTTTACTCGAAAAGAAATATTGAAGGAAGACATTTTGATGACATTCAGGACATCAAGGGTACTGTGATGGCAGCTCTGGTGGCCATTCCAGAAAGAGAGTTCCAAAATTGCTTTGAAGGGTGGACTAGGCGCTGGCATCGATGCATAGCTTCCCAAGAGGAGTACTTTGAAGGTGACCATAGCAATGAAGTATGTAGCACTTTTTCTAGGATGAGTTCGTGAACTTAATTGTCTGACCTCATATTTTCTGTGTGTGGTCCATTATGTGTAACATAAAATTTACCATTTAACCATTTTTAAGTGTATACTTCTGTAGCATGAAGAGTATTCACACTGGTGTGCAGCCATCACCTGTATTATTGTAGGTATTTATATTAACACTATTATTGTTATTTTAGACCTTTCTAGGTCTAATGATGGCATTGTGGGTGTTGTTTTTCTCTCCTGGGAACATTTATGTATTTTCCCAATCTTCTAGTAATAAACGTATAATACTTTTATAATCACATTTTCATGACCGTTTAGCAATGTGGGAAACTACAGCATTAAATGAAAAAAAGCAAGCTATAAGTACTGAATATCCAATATAATCCCAATTTTGCTTAAAAAAGAACAGAAAAATAGAGCTGATTCCCAGAAACCTCTGAATGTTTCTTAGTTATGCCATTTTAAAGTGACTCTGTATTAGTTTTCCAAGCACAACCACGATGAAACTTTTGTTGTGCTTCCAATGAGAGGGCTGGGGCAGGCTCTGGGTCACTGACCTTCTCCAGCTGGTGTCCGCAGGCGGCGAGAGGTACACGGTGCCATAAGGGCAGCTGTCCACTTGAGTGTGAGTTAAGGGGATGGCGCTGTTGGCTCAGGCCCCACCCGGACCCCAAAAACCTGGTGGCCAGGGTACTGGGAGCCTACAAACAGCTGGGGTAGCAGAACTGGCGAGAGGGTCAGGGGGAGGCTTTCCTGCCTGGCTGTAAGCAGTTCTGGGGAACGGCCCCATCCACCTAGCACTCAGCACTAACCTTCTGCGTGCACACATGTGTGCTGTACCCCTTCCAAGAGGGGTCTTGGCCATGAAACTGGGGTCCACGGGGATGGCAGGGAGTCTAATTCAGCTGACCCGGGTCTTGACTCATAACTCTGGGTTGATGAGGCAGCTCCTGGGGCCCGTGGGCTCCATTTGGGGCTCAGCTAGTCAGGTTCCCCTAGCCATGGAAATCAGAACTGGGAAAGAACAGACTTCTCTGTTCTAGAAAGCAGGGCGTCTCAGAGCAGTGCTCAGACTATGGCGGGTGAGGGGGGCACTGGCTGGCCAAGCACTGAGAGGTGGCTGGGTCAGGGGCAATCCTGATGATCTCTCAAAGGTGTGAACTTGAGTTTTGTGTCTTCAGATCAAGTCTCCCTCAAATCTGTCTAGTTCTGGCTTGGACCCCGTCAACCCCACTGCCTCAGCTCAGCTGTCCTCCATATGGCCCCAAGAGGCTGGAAGGGTCCATCAACATGGCCCTGACATGTGGGCACCCTGTTCACAGTCTTCCTGGGCTCCACCGCCCAGGTGGGTGTCCAAGTGCAATGTGATCTGGCGTCACCTTCCCCAACTCTCCCCTCAGGCTGCGTACTCTAGCGGCTCCCTCTGCAGCCTTGTTCCCTGTGCTTCCCAGTCCCTGCCTAGCCAAAGGCTCCTCAGCTTGCCTCACTGCCTCCGCTGGGAAGTCCACTGGGGAGGCCCTGATCCAGCCCCAGAGCTGGAAGTTCCATCAGCTAGATGAACTCAGGGTCCTGGAGTCACCAACAGGGCCCAGGCTCCCTGCCTGAGTCCTCTGGGGAAAGGATATCTGCCGTCCGTGTTTGTCCACCGACAGAGGCCGGCGGTGTGGGGAGCCGAGCCGGCCGCGCTCCCGGTACACTCTGTCCACCAGCCCATGGTGCCGGGTGGTCCGGCTGGTATCCAGGCCTGAGGACTGGAAGGGTGTCTGGATGTGGGGAGGGGTCCAGGGAGGGGAGGAGGAGAGGAAATGGGAAAAAATGAGAGAGAAACCCAAAATACGGTTATCAGCTGTGGCCTGCCCCCCAAGATCTGACCTCAGGATCCCCCCACTCCAGAGACACCCTTGGCCACCACCCTGCAGCCCAGGCAGGCTTCCTCCTTCAGCTGAACCCTGGCATCCGAGCCCTGCGATAGTTGGGGTGAGCTGGGGACCCCGGGCGGCAGGCGTGCAGTGTGGCCAGCATGCACAGGCCAGGCAGAATGGCACAAGCACAGGGCCAGTGCTGGCTGGGGAGTCAGGGGTGCAGACAGCCGAGCACCTCCCCAGCCTCACCAGGTATAGACAGGCCTCTGCCTTCTCTCTCGGGCCTGGCCGGCCTCCTCTCTCCACCTACGTCATTCCTGGAGGGGCTGCCAAGAGACAGCCTGGGGTTTCCAGCTGAGGACGTTGAGGGGCCCACCTGGCCAAGTGCTGACTCTCCAGAGGCTCCTCGTTGAGCCTTGGGGCTGGTTTCGACTAAGATGTGGCCCGTAGTACCCTCCCCCACCACATCCCAGCACCACCCCGAGCCATGTGCAGGCACTTTTTGGAGCCCTTGGCCTACGGCTTGGCAGGACAGAGCTTCCCTTCCAGCACCTGGGGCTGGCATGAGGCCCCCGGCCAGGCCGTGCTCCCTCTCCTGGCTCCATGCTTCTGAGGCCCCCTGGAGCCTACTCTCTGCCATCCCTGGCGCCATAGAGCTCCTCGCCATCTGAATGGGGTGAGACTGGCAGCCTTAGCCAGCTCTGGATGTAGCCTGTCCTGCTGCCCAGCCATCTGGTCCTTGGGCCCTTCTGTCTTCTCTGGGCAGCCAGGCAAAAAGTGATTTCCTTCCAGGAGATTGCCATGGCTGGAATCCTGCTCTTCCCACCCATCCGAATGCCTCAGCTGGTATTCAGGGCTGACTGCTCTCCCAGAGTCCGCGACACCTCTCTCTCTCTTTGAATCAGCAAGGACCCTGCTGGCTTAGGGCCAGAAGACGGCCATGACTGAGAAAGGGAGGGAACCTCACAATCTGGCAGGAACACCAGAGGGCAGGGGCTGCTAACCTCCTCCCAGAGATGCCTGGAAGGTGGAGGGGAAACTGAGGCGGCCAACGGAGAGCCAGAGACAGAGAGAAGCTCGGCCTGGTCACAGCCCAGCTCGCCAGGCGACATCTAGGATCCCCGCACACGCGTATGCATGTCACGGGAACAACCATGCAGCATTGGTGCGCATGCTCAGATCCCCGGGCAGGGTCTCTCCACACAATCACACACACATCCCCAGACGGGGGTGTAGACTGAATCCGTTTCCATTTGGTGGATGGGACACCTCCCACCAGGCCACAGGGGCAGCCACGCTAGGGACACCGATGGCCTCAGCCCAGGGGCTCATTTACCAGAGAGACAGGAGTCGCTGCCAAGGCCTCCCCCAGAAATCCGCTGGGCTGGAAATGCAAAGAACCGAAACTCTGAGATGCTCTGGCCTCACCTGGCCCCCCGGAACCCTGACAGGCCCCTGCACCCTTGGCCCCAGGAGCTCCATGCCAGCCCAGGCAGGGCGAGTTTGGAGTGCCCAGAGAGAAGCTCTCCTCAAAGGAAAAGGGGACAGGAAGACAGAGCAAGGAGAGAGCTGGGGAAGGGAGGAGAGGGAGAACCCCAACTCAGAAGTGCCCTGACAAAGAGGTCATCTTTTGGTCACTGTCACAGCCCCACACATCTGCTCCGATAAGAAGGCTATCAAGGGGCAGCCGGTTAGCTCAGGTGGTTAAGAGTGCAGGCTCATAACTCTAAGGTTGCTGGTTCGATTCCCACATGGGCCAAAGAGCCGCGTTCTCTACAACTAGATTGAAGACAACTATTTGACTTGGAGCTGATGGGTCCTGTAAAAACACACTGTTCCCCAATAAAATTTCTAAAAAAAAAAGAAGGCTGTCCAAGGAGGGTCATGCCCCAGCGTCCCAGAGCTGAGCCGGGTGTACCCTGGCTGGCGGCCTGCGGCATCCCAGCAGCAGCAGCATGGGAGCAGTAGGAGCTGAGGGGTGACGCGGGTGGCTGGGTGGGGAATGAGCTCCCTGAGAGACAGGCCCAGCGCCACCTGGCCTATCAGCATGTGGACAGATGTGGCTGTTTCTGGGGCCCTGTTCCAGCAATGGGGCAGAAGTGTGGCCATCTGCAGAATTGTCCCTGCAGAGCTAACTTGGTGCTGGGGGTGGCCCAACTCTCAGTCCCAGCTCCCCAGCGCACTTTGCCACCTGCAGACCAGGGTCGGGCACAGCCCAGGGGAAGAGGCTGGCCCTGTGCCCAGGCGGTGGGCCTTATCTCTTGTTATTTATGATAAGGACGTGCACAGCGGCCCTGCGGCCTGCAGGAGCTGCACTGTGTGGGTCTCTGCCAAGAAACGTTTGCAGACAAGTGGGGTCAGGCTGAGGGGCCTCCTTCTGAGAACCGCTGGGCTTGCGGATTAGTGAGGCTGACGGAGCCAAGCCCCAGAGGCCCCAAGCGGTTCCCGCTGCCGCACAGCCGGCCAACAGGTGTAGCGGCTGCTGAAACACTTGTGGCCAGACTGGGGCCTTGCTGCAAGGTCTGCTGACAGGGGACTGGCGGGGGGGGGGGGGGGGGGGCGATCTGGGCGAGGCCTGGCCAAGCCATCCCATCCCGGGAGCAGGAAAGGAGTAGGCGGGGGTGGGGCGGGAGGGTTGCGGCAATTGTCTGCTGACCCTAGCTGTCCACAGCAGCCATCACACACGCACGCCTGCCCAGAGTGGATGCACTCCAGGTGGGAGGCTAGGGGAAGCTCCCTGAGAGAGGCAGTGGGAGAAGAGGGTGGTGGGGGGCTTACCTGGAAAGGCAGATCCACAGTGCCACTTCCAATCTGGTTCACATTGGGCAGGGACCCGCCGTAATACTGGCCGCGGCTTGGGCCCAGTTGCAGGTACTGCGACTTCTGGAGCTGGAGCTGCAAGAGAGAAACCGGCAGCTACAGTGGGGGCTAGGGGGTCCTCCCAAGCCCAAACTGCAGGGTGCCATCCCCAAGGGCCCAGAAGGAACCCAAGCAGTAGGGTCAGTGACACCAGTCGCAAAAGGTGTGAGGCTCCATGATTACTCAGATTTTGGAAGGAGCCGGGTGTCTCTCCACCCAAAACAGCAAAATCAAGGTGCCCTGGCAGGCCCTCTCCAGGACTCCGTGAACTTGGGGGAGCCTTCCTTGCTGGCTGACATGTTTGTGAATGAGCAAGAGTATGGTGCAGGCCTAGAGCCTGCAGCCTGAGGAGGAGGCCCCTCACCTACCCAGGGGAGCCATTTCTCATTGCAGCCAAAGGCTGCGTTCCAGCTTTAGGGCCAGAGGCTGCGAATTGACGCCCGGACACAAGAGAAATCTTCTTTCCAATGGCCTGAATTGGAGGGGCTGGCTCAGAAGAGTAGCGCTGGCTTTCAAAGTGCAGGATGTGGATTTCTCCGGCAGCACACACAGGATGAGCAGGTCTGCCAGACCCCACCTGAGTTCAGGGTCCTGCCCATGGCCCCAAATTCCTTCTACCTGTCCCCCCACCACACATACATGCACTGGGACTGGGCCCAGTGGATGTCCCTCATCTGGGCTGGCCATATCCCTGCACAGTCTTCCACCCATCACTCAAACAGGGACTCTTCCTGCTGGGCCAGGCCTCAGAAGCAGGAGCCTGGAGCTCCGTGACTGGCCACGGCTGCCTCGTACCTGGCCTGGGATCTTCCTCTTCTCTCTCAAGCAGCCAATTCCGCTTTTTGGGAACAACGGCAGAAGCCCTGAACCACGCAGCACCACCCATAGCCCATAACACCACTGTGGGAGGTAGGTGTCCTGACTGAGGGGTGGTGGCCGGGCATGCGGGGAGGGGTGGCGTCCGCTCCCAGGGCTGGGGTGGTTGCTAGGGTCGACTCTGTGTACACAACAAGGCCGCTCATGTTCCCTCACAAACAGCTCCTGGCAGCCTCCGCCAGCTGGCCGCCCATACCGCCTGTTCCCTCAAGCCGGCCCAGCTTCCTGGGGGGCCTCGGACACCAGAGGGGAAGTGAAGTCGGAGAACTGGCCGCCTGCCCACTGGGCGGAGCACCTCACCCAGGTAAACAGCTGTTTCCTGAGAGCTGTGTGGAGCCGGGAGGGAGGCTGACCTTGCTTCGTTCCTTCCTGAGTGGTTCTCAGCATCTTCGGGGCCCAGCCCAGGGTCTGTCTCTGACATGAACACTCCACTGTGTCCCTCCCCACAGTCATGAGGGACAAAACAGGCCAGGGCCCCCACCTCTGCCTGGGCCCTAGACCCGCCCCACGCCCTCTTTGTGTCTGAGCCACGTGGCAGGAGTATGCACTGCTTCTACCTCTCAAGTGGCATGTGGCTCCAGAGGGCCACAGCCCCCTTCTGACACTCAGTTTCCCCTCCCATTTCCTTGCCCTACTCCCGGGCCCCTCGTTTCCAGGCAGGGCCCCCCACCCCCTGACACATCCAGCGACAAGTCCCGCCCTACATAAAGTCCTTTTCCCTTGTCCCTGCCTGACGTCCACTCCCCTGCAGAGTCCTGGGGCTTCTCCCTGGGCCTTGCCCTACTGACAGGACCCTGCAGGGGTGGGGTGGCCTGACACAGTGTGCATCCCCAGCCTCTGTCAGTGCCCAAGCTCCTGCTGGGCACATCCCCCCATCCTGGCAGCATCCACGGGGCTGGGAGGAGTGGGGGCCACAAGGCCAGGGAACAGGGGCCAGTGGCCCTGGGAAGACGTGGTGTGATGGACACAGCCCCAGTTCTCAGGGACCCAGGCACAGGATGCTGTTAACACCCTCACCTGTCAGCCCCTCCCAGGCCTTGCTCTCTAGACAAGCCAGCCTTGGTCAGGCCCGTCAGCAACTGCCATGGCAACTGGCTGGCCTTCTAATGAGATTAAGGGGGGCAGACATGCTGAAGGCTGAGCTGTCCTGCAAAGCAGGGTCAGGCCAGGGGCCAGGAAAAAGCCCAGTGAGCCAAGCAGGCCTGTTTCCCCTCCGCCATGAAGGCTGCTTGGTCTGGCTCTCTGCTCTCCCTGGGCTCCACCAACTGAGAGGGTTACTGCCTTGAGACCTTCGCACTGGTGCTCCCTCCTCCAGGAGGCTCTTCACATTGGGCTAGCCCAGCACTGAGCACCTCACCCCCTCGGAGTCACCTCCTCTGCAGCTCACTGTCCAAAACCACCCGACCGCGATCTGCCTGTTTCCTCCCATCAGACTGTCGGCTCCATGAGGACTCTGGCACAATGGAGGAGCTTGGCACACATGGGTAACAAGTGACAACGGGTGACTTGTGAGTGCAGGAACAAGAGCTGGATACACTCAGGATCCCAGGCAGGGACCGTGTTTCTCCAGTGCCCACATGGGACCCCTGCCCCTGACCTCAGGGAAACTGAGGCCCAAGGAACAGACAGCTGTCCAAGTACAGAGGCAGCATGTGCTCCAGCCCGGGGCTCAACCTGAGAACCACCCATGAGAGGGAGGCGGAGAGCACACGCTGTCCCCTTGCCAGCTTGAGCACACAACACTTCTGGGACCAAGCACTGACTGGGACCTGAGCCACCTTGGGGGTATCTCAAGGAGGGAGAGACTGGAGGTTTGCTGGGGTCTCCAATTGTCCCAGCAGCTACAGGGGTATGTCTGGGGAGCCCCCCAAGAACCCCTGAAAGGATCTAATTCTAAGTCTGTGGAACTGCCATGGGTTTTCTGAGGCCACTGCTCTGTGGGCATGCATCCAGTTTGTCTGGCTGAGTACCTCCAGGTTCCCTTCCATGCTTGGCCCCAAGAGTCCCCCCGGTTCTCAGCTCGAGCAGCAGATGGTGAGTTTGAGGAGGGCACACAGCCCCTCCTGGACTCCATTTCCCACACCGGGCCCCCTGCATTACTCAGTTGAAGTGACATATGTATGGCTGTCGACATTGAACTGAGGCCACGGAGGATGGCATTGAACACCCTGGGCAGAGTCATTCCAGGGACAAGAGGGCCACAGGCCATCAGCTCTGACTGGGGACTCCCCAACCCCCACCCCACGGCTACAACAGACAACAGTGAAATCCATGCCATGTGTCCATGGACCGTGCTCTCTCTCCTCACGCCTCCCCTACCCACTCTAGAAAAGATTGGAAACCCAGGCTTTGGGGTTTCCCAAAACCTGTGCCTGCAGGTGCCAGCTGGGAAGGCTGGAAACAGCTTTTCTCTCTCTTTTAAAACTTTTCTTCTTTTTTATCGAAGCAAAATTCATGTAACATGAAACAAACCATTTAACATGTACAAGTCAGTGGATTCTAGTACATTCACAATGTTGTGCAACCATCACCTCTATCTAGTTCCAGAACATTTCCGTCACCCCAAAGGGAAACCCTGTCTCCATTAGCAGTCACTCCCCATCCCGCTTCCCCAGCCCGAACAATCACTAATCTCCTTTGTCTCTACAGATTTGCCTGTTCTGCACATTTAATATAGATGGACTCACACACTGTGGCCTTTTTGTCTGGCTTCTTTCACTCACCATGATGTTTTCCACATTGTAGTGTCAGTGCTTCACTCCTTTTCATGGCTGAATAATGTTCCACAGTGTAAATGGACCACATTGTATTTATCCTTCATCTACTGATGGGACATTTGGGTTGTTTCCACCTTTTAGCAGTTGGGAATAGTGATGGTGTGGACATGGGTATACAAGTATCTGTTTGAGTTCCTATTTTCATATCTCTAGGTATATCCCTAGGAGTGGAATGGCTAGGTCATATAACTCTATATTTAATTTTTTTAAGGAATGGCTGTATTATTTTCCACAGTGGGCTGCACCACTTTACATTCCCACCAGCAATACATGAGGATTCTAATTTTTCCACATCCTCAACCATACTTTTTGGTTTCTGTTGTTTTGATAGTAGCCTTCCTGATGGGTGTGACATGATATCTCCTTGTGGGTTTGATTTGCACTTTTCCCTGGTGACTAGTGATATTAAGCACATTTTCATGGCTTCTTGGCCATTTGTATATCATCTTTGGAGACACGTCTGTCAAATCCTTTGCCCATTTTTAAACTGAATTGTTTGTTTTTTTCCTGTTGAGTCATAAAAGTTCCTTATATATTCTGGATATTAATCACTTATCAGCTATATGGTGTGCAAATATTTTCTCCCATTCTGTGAGTTTTTATTTTCTCGATAGTCTTTGATGCACAAAAATTTTTGAGAGTTCAATTAATCTGTTTTTCTTTTGTTACTTGTGCTTCTAGTGTCATATCTAAAAATCCATTGCCTAATCCAAGGCCAGAAAGAGTTAGTTACACCTATGCTTCTTTCTAGGAGTTTTATAGATTTAGCTCCTATATTTAGGTCTTTGTCCAATTTTGAGTTAATTCTTATTAATATTGTTGCTGCTCCAGTCCTATCTCACGACCAGCCCCCATGCTGTCTGAGGGCTCCATGGTGAGGAGAGTCTGGCTAAACCCCGGAAGTGTGGTTGGGACACTGGAGTTTCTCATTACACATCTGCTGAGCAAGGGAGGGAATAATGAATGAATGAGGGAATGAATGAAAGCGTCACAGGCGTGTGGCCGAGCACGGATTCCAGACTGAGTCACCCGGCCCCCCAGCTGACTGAGACACTCCCCAGCTGCCTCCTAGCTCGTTCCCAAAGTGTAAATACAGAACCAGATACACAAACACTGAGCGCGCCTTGGAATGCCTTTAATCAGGTTCTGTGGCTCCTGCCAAGTTCTCGGCCCCGGCTGAATCAGAGGGTCTGCTGGGAGCACGTTTGTTTCCCTGTTGGTGCGGTTGTTGAGCACAAATCTTCCGGCTGGTATGTGTGAAGGGTCCCTCGGGATCTAAGCGCAGCACAGCTGGCTCACGGGGGCCTCTCTCCTGGAGAATGAGACCCCAGCCCTGCCAGCCAGCCAGGCGCCCACCCTGAGTGGGGCCTCGCAGCAGCTCTGTGGGGGGTGACCTGGCTTCACCTCTGCTTTACAAGTGGGGAAACTGAGGCACTGAGGGGCGACTGACTTGCCCTGAGGTAACCCAGGCCCCCTCAACTTCACACTGGCAGCCCACAAGGCCCTGCCTTCTGCCTCTGGGCTCTTGCACCCACCCCGCCCTTTTCTGGAACCTTTCATGTAGCTCCTTCTCATCACTTGGGTCTCAGCTCATTGATTACCTCCTCAGGAAGCCCTCTCTGATCCCTACTTCCAAAATAACCCTGTCTTAGCTCAAGATACCGTAACAAAGTACCACAGGCTGGGTGGCTTAAACAATAGACTTATTTCTCATGGTTCTGGAGGCTAGGAGTCCAAGACCAGGGTGCAGGCAGGGTGGGGTTCTAGTAAGGTTGCAGATGGCCGCCTTCTCGCCATGTCCTCATGTGGCCTTTCCTTGAATGTGTGCAGAAAAAATTCTCTCCTCTTCCTCTTCTCATAAGGGCACCTGTTCTATCAGATCAGGATCTCATCCATATAACCTGATTTCACCTTAATCACCTCCTCGCAGGCCCCATCTCCACATACAGTCACAATGGGGACTCCACATGTGAATTTGGGGACACAATTCAGTTTACGGCATCCTCTCTGGGATATGTTGCCTGCCTGTGTCTGTCTGGTGGGCCAGCACTACCTGACGACCAGGACGCTGCTCATCGGGCCTCTGTGGACACCTCTGGCTCCAGTGCCCACCCCAGGAAGTGACCATCCATAGCTATATCTAGAATTGGGAAGCTCAGAGTTGCCTCACAGCCAGCCAGAACCAGGGACCCCTGGACTCACCAGGCAGGAGCCCCCAGGATGCAGGGTGGCCTGTGGGGAGGGGCTTTCTCTGGGCCTGGCCATGGAGAGCCTGAGACTCTGTGAGGTGGGGGTGACAAGTGGTATGTGCTTCCCTGGGGCTGTCGGGTGGCCGAGACAAGAT